ATAAAGTCCGACCTTCTGAGGGAATCCGGTGCGTAACCCATGGGTACGAAGGAAGGAGCGAGTGAATGCACAGGTGCTGCCCTTGCCTTTGGTTCCGGCGACATGAACGATGTTGAGGCCGTTCACATCGTTGTCCTAAAAACATTCATGTAAGAAGAAACCATTATGGCGTGATGAGATGCTAGCAATGAATAGTTTTTACCGAGTGCCCTAATTTCCGCAGCCAGTCTTCCATCCCAACCAAACTAGGCACGCCCCGCAATGCTTGGTTGTCAGTCGGGGTCGCTGCATCTTGGTTTGTCGGCGCCAGCGCGGCCGCTCTTGGCCGAGCTTTTCGTCGGCGACTCTCCAGGAGTTTAAGAGCGTTCTAACAATGCTTCAGAAGATTTGAATAGAGAAAAGGTATTGACTGGCCATACCTCGTAGCTGCGCTTCATATCTGCAGGGGCCCTGATATATGCCGGCTCTGGGGAGGTTAACATCAAGAATCAGGCTCATTTGCCCCACGCATCTTATCTCGCAGCCCATGTCGCCGACGCCGGTCTCTCGGCATCGGCATCGGCTTCTCATTCCTGAGGCATCAGGGCACGTGACCGTGGAGGCAATGCCATCGAAAATCGATTCTAGCTACCTTATTGCTCTCGCATCCTGCTAGTTCAGATGATCAAATAGTGAGTTTAAAGAGAGTGACCGTCAGACCGACATGTGAAGTTGAGAGATAGCCCAGGTTCCGTGCTATGTACACCTCGGAAACAAGACAACGCATGCGCCAAGTCTGTACTTGTTTGACCCATGACCATATATCTTTATTAACTCTCATAGGGCGATAAATTTCTCTTCAATGAGAACTAAAGTTACTCGGGCAGCCCAGTGTCGATCTAAGCCGAAACTATGAGACATTTCATATATCGAGACACACTGCCAGGATCGCGGGCTTGGATGGGACACTTCCACAAACGGTTAGATTCACCCTGCAGTGGAGTATCACGTGGCGGTCTGTCAAATACTCCAGGCTGAATTCCGAGACAGATGGTTTGAACCAGATAAGGACCTCTAGCCAATACTGCTAGTGCTTTATTTTGCATAATGCGCATTGCAATGCCTCTTATATAAGGTGTTCTATATGTCTTTCCTACCGATTACGGAGATAACGTCCGCACAGGCTCTCCTCAGAGCAGGAGAACCGTTTGTCCCATTTTCCGAGTACACAGTCCAGGATATCGAGAGCTTGTCGGACGACCAGGCCCATGAGTGGCTGAATCGCAAATTGCAAGAAGGAAAACCCTTCGTAATCCGCGGATTCAATACGACTAGCAAATGGGATAACTCGATCTTGAATAATGGAACCTTGGCCGCCTTGTCAGCCTCGAGAGGTATGTGGCGGTCGAGCAACTACCTCGGGAAGTTCTGCAGCTTACAGGATGATCTCGGTACTCAAGCGATACCGGTTAGGAATTGCTCTACAGGGCGGGATATAAAGCTGCGACTGCAGGAGATCTTGTACCAGGCAGACCACCCACCCCCGAGCATTGGACGAGATTTGTATGTGGTCTATTATATCCTCCAGGGTTAGCTCCATCAGCTCACAGACTCGCTTCGAAGCCTCTACGCCAAGGATCTACAATGCCCGAAAGATTGGATTCGTGCATTGGACTCTGTTCTGCCGCCGTGTCTTAGGCATTTGGGCACCCTTGATCTGTTTCGAGTACTGCCAAAGGAAATTGCTCCAGAGGTTTTGATGGCATATGTCGGTACTAATAATTCGTTGTAAGTTGGATGTCAGTGTCTTGCCATGCTGTTCGATCAGCTAACAAATAGACTACGAATAGCTCTGGCTTTCACCGATGTTTCAGTGGGACAGCTGCGCTGAACCTCCTTATCGAATCCCAAGGTAATACACACAACCTCTACCATCCTTATACGCAGAGATTCTTAGCTCGCAATTAGGAAGCGGGCATGGGTCCATATGTTTTGGCACGGACAAACATGCACAAACCCAGTATGATGCTTTCATGGAAGAGCTTGGAAAATCACCTCATACGGACTGGGCGAACGTCACAGTCACCCAGCTAGGTCGTGCGAAATTCCCCATTTATGTCGCTGATCAGTTTCCTGGAGACTTGGTTGTCTTTCCTCCTGCCACTGCTCACCAGGTCTGGAATGTCAATTCTCTGGTTACTAAAGTGGTGTGGAACATAATGCACAGCTCTTCGCTCACCTATTTCTTCGACTATATCCAGCCCGTTTATCAACAGCTATGTCATGCAGATACCGGCCGGGTGCCTCTGGTTCTTCTACATGCACTTAAAAGCGAGTCTTGCCGGCCAGAAGACAATGCTCTTCTTCTAAGTCTCTTCCAACAGATGATCGAGGATGAAGACATTGAGAATGAACTAAGTGTACAGTTGAAGCTCATTGACACGCAGGGTGCGGTGGTCGAATGCAACTTTTGCGGCCTGACGATCTGGAATCGTCATTTGCATTGCGAGCAGTGTGGAGATTTCGACCTATGTCTTAAGTGCTTCGTGTCTGGACGCAGCTGCAAACACTTCAGCAATTTTATTTGGGCTGAACTCCTTCCAAAGGCTTACTGCAACAATGTCATCAGCAGTGCGCGAAGCAAGTTAGGTGCACAGCGGACTTCAAGTCCCCCGCGTACAAAGTACGGACCCTCGAACATTCTGGGTTTTGAACACAACATTTCAAAGAAACACCACCTACCTTCATTACGGCCTCCTTCTCTTTCTCTTATTTCTATGCAACCTTTTACATTCACCTAGCCTCCGTCTCAGACAATTCACAACCAAGTTTGTTCTTAGCTAATGGTTGTTTTATTCAGTCGAAAGTCTTTGGGAACACTGGCCGCAGCAGCAGCCACTGCACGAAAACAGTCTACGGTAAATCAGCCTCCTGCAGACCTCACCAAGGTCTAACGACTGGTTGACAATCGGAATAGGAACGACTTTGCCATCTATGCCGTGATAGTCACTCGGTATGGAAAGGAATGGCATGCTCACGGTGCGATGCCTTCTTCTGTTTTCGCGGGCTCCACAGACACTTCGATATCGATTTGATTCCGTATCTCAGAGATGCAGATTCTTGGATCTGCCCGAAGTGCTCGCAGGTGTGCAACTGTCGGTGTTGCCACTTTGCCGAGCCGTATCGTAGTAAGGACAAGCCTGTGCGAGCCCGGGTGAAACCAGTCGACCAACGAGGGCGCATTACCGGCTTCGTCGATAATGTATTTGACCAGAGGAGAGGTAAAAGAGCGGCCCAGAACGCATCTCCACAGCCATATAATGCTTCACAGAGTGGGAAGCGACCGAAAACTCATTTCAACGAGGATGCCATTAGACTAGGACAGCAGAATGATGGGCCTCATGCTTCCCTCGACATTCGGACCTATGAGTCGGGGGGAACCCAACAGACCAAGACCTTGACCCACATCAGGGACAACCCGGCAGAGCAGACGGAGCTAGCCTCTGTGCGAATCCAAGCCCCAAAGGGACAACTTCGTATCAGTGACCTAGTGGAAGACCGTGATTCAGATCGAGCGCAACAGCTTCCGCGCGCATTGCATTCCCATCATTCCTCTATAGCGTCTACCACACCAGAAAACAATCCATACTCTTTTACAGGCGATATCAGCATCGCCGCTCTCGAGAGAAAGCTATACTCGCTACGCCAGTATGCAGAAGAGTTATTGGACCTATCGCTTGTTGATTCGCATGCGAAGCTCCTCGAAAAGGTCGCCGAGATGCAGAAGCAGGTGGAAGAACAGAAGCGACGAAAGGCCGAGGTGCTTTTCAGCAACCTCCACCGAGACTTTCCTGATCTGGCTAATATCGCTCGAGAGGAGGCGCGACGACGAGGGTTTTAGAGACAACGCGCAAGTTCCGTGACATTTGTTGGAACGAACATGGCGAAAGAGGCGGACTAGATCATAGACTGTCCATCGGAGTTATCTCACCAACAGGTCTTTTGGCCCTTTAGAGTAAAAATGCAGAGAGAGTAGTTACGGGAAGGTCACTCAAAATAGTTTCAGATATAGTCCAGAAAATCGAGAATCGCTTGCTTAGTATCGTGATTAAATAAACACGACTGTTCTGACGTGGAAGACAGCATACATCAGGTTGACATCAGGGAAGACGAGCCAAAGGGGGAGGCGGAAGTGATCCAAGGAAGCAGGCGGAGTTCCAGCCGGCGGTGATCCTCACCTCTCACCTCTACCTCTCCAGTCTCCACATTCATCCCTCCTCCTTCCCTCTCCTCAAAGGCCCTCTCTTCCTGGCCTTTGCCTCTCTCTCACACACTTCTCTCTCCCCATCCTTCCACCACCCAACCCCTCTCTCCTTTTTTGTCCTGCTCCACACTCGTCGTTTGGTCAATAAGGCCAAGTTACTTTGCTGGATATCTCTCTTTAATCGAGTTCGCCAACACTGAACCGGAGTCTTTCCCCAGGAATCAACCATATTTGGTATGTTTGGATGGTTCCTCCCACTCCCCAGCCCACCCACTTATTCTTGATCGGCGTCAACACCCGTCAACCCCCCCCCTCCTCCCCCCTCCCTCTCCCTCTCCCTCTCCCTCCGTCTCTGTCATCATACTGCACGGCTAATACTATATGCCTGCGTTGCGCAAAGCGATAAAATCCCTAAGAAATTCGAACGCGATCGGCCCTTCCCTCATCTCGAGCTTGCGCTAGACTTGAGCGACAACCTCGGGGCAGCCGTCCATCTCCGCGATCTATCTGTTTCGGTCATTCTATATCCCCGCCGGGGGCTGGCGGTAGCAGGCACACACGCCGAACTCACTACTTCGATCCTGACCGCCTCCACAACACACGACCAGCTCACCTTCGCACAATCACACGCGCGCCCTCACCCCTCACCACTTTCCCTTCTCCCCCCTCCTTTTCTCTTTCATTCAGCCTGGTTTGACCCTATTCTTCGACGACTCTCTCTCAATTCCTGTGTTTACTGCTATCTTTTTGTCCCGCCATGCCCTGCTTCAAGGGTCTCGCCGTGAGTATACACACTCCGGATGGCCCGATTTCCGAATACTCGATCCAACGTCAATCTCGAGCTTCTCGCATAGCTTGCTACATTCCGGTACCCCCTCCAAAGCTACCTGACTCCGGATCGGGCCGACCAGAACAGTCGACTTTCGCCATCTCCATCACACTCCTGAACCCCGGTCAAGATGTCCCTTATTCTGCTCCAAAACCGACATCCGACAACCCCGCACCCAGGCCTAAAGTTGTTGGAGGACTTCCCGGCCCGACCGAAGAGCGGGGGCAATACTCTAGTATGGTGATTCCCTACAAGCCGTTAACCAATTCGCCAAACGAGACGGTCGCTGCATACATCTACTTCGACGGCCGACAGAAGGAGGAGGTGGCTACGCTCCTGCGGAGAGGCGAGGAGACTTGGGTCAACTCTCGATGGGTTAGTGTCCCGGAATCCGAGGGCGGCGGTCTGGCCGAACGGGAGTTCCTGTTCCGTGAGGTCGGACTGGAGAGATGGTTGAATGGTCTAGACCTGGAAGGCAAAGATGCGGCGGCCAAGATTGAGCGACGACGACAGAAGATGGAAAAGCGTCGCCTGAAACGTGAAGAAAGCGGCGGTATGGACACGGATGCAAAGTCACGGAAGGAGAGAGACATAATGCGCTACGGAGATAATTCGAAATCCCCCCTGGAAGATGTCTCTGATGACGATATGTCATTCTCTGATTCCGATGATGATCCGATCCCTGAGTCTGCAGGGCAGATCAAGGTGGCACTGTTTCGTGTTCTGGCTTCTGGTCAGGTCAAACGGGGAGAGTACTCGCCTCAATTCGATGCGCACGATGACGACGATGATGTCTCAGGCGGCAATGACAACAATAACTGCGCATCGGACGCCAACGTTGACCACACCACGAGCTTTGCGAAGCCGAAAACACTCGACCCCAAGACAATCAGTACGCAAACTGTGACGAGCATTGATGCATCTGATAAACCCTACGCTACCTTCACGTTCATGTACCGCGGAGAGCGTAAGTCATCACCCGGTTCGCAAAGTAGCCGTCGAAACTAACTTTGAACTAGGGCAACTTCAGAAGATGGGGATCCTCAAGGATGCCAAGGCGCAGGAAACTCCTGGGTCTGTAAAGCGTCGGTCGATACAACCAGATTTTTCCAATCTTGGCCCGCTCAAGCCTGGCGGCACCGTTGGCTTCCTGAAATTCCGAGAGAGCACAGAAAACCATAAGAGAGGAAAGAAGGGTAGCAAGACTGTTGGCGATGATGACATGGATAGTGATGACGATGACGAGAATTCCATCCTCGGTAAAGCAGACGCCGAAGAGGGCAAGGACGATGATGTCCATCTGTCTCCGGAAGATCTCAGGCAGCAGGGCGAGTTGGCGGAGAGCATTCGTAAAATTAAGGTGAGTCAATCCTGCTTCGTGCTTCGTCTCTGTTCGCCTAACTAACACTCATTTCAGCTCAAACGGCAGCACTCGTCGGCGTCGCTTGCCACTAATACTCCTCCGACGGACACTGGAAGTCCTCGAGCGCCCGGAGAATCAGCCCCGTCTTCTAATCTTTCCACAACACCTCCCATTGTACCGCCGTCAACTGCCGCTGCTGAAACTCCCAAGCCAGCGGCTAACGCGGTTGATGGTCAATTCATCGGCAGCCCTCTAAAGAAACAGCGAGCTAGCGTATCACAAGCGGATGAAGATGTGATGCGTCGACGAATGGAGTCAGGTTTGTCGCACGAGATCAGTAACGATAACCCTCCAAACCCCACTGGAACTACAGCGGCTAGTACGGGTGTAAACCATCCACCGCATGATTCCATGGCTACTGAGGAAGAAGAGCTATAAGCTCGCGACCTCCCAGAGTCCATCCTCATGTTTACGTGCTTAGATGGTCGACATCACACCGATCAGACGGAGGAAGATGTTTGAAATCTTTATTTTCCTATACTTATTTGAGGGATGGCTTATCATCCTTATCATTCTTTTGGGTAGCCCTCGCTTATCCCGCATCGAAGGGGTTGGACAGGAATACAGTTGGTCATGATAGAACATGACCGTTGACGGCTGCTTTCGCTTTTTTGAGATGTGTGGTACACTATTTTGCTAGTTGAGATATCTTCATGGCGAATGAGCTGGGGATGGGCGGAACTATTGCTAGAATGGAGCATGAGGTACGTGCTGAGTGGAGGTAATTGTTATAGACGGAATGAGTTACGCAAGTTGCACGCTGAAAACCTCCTTTTTGCTGGAGGCGGAGATTTGGAATAACTGAGTTCCCTGTCAATAAGCAGGGCTCGTAGGGTTCGGACTATGGCAAAATCTGAGAAAACTTCTGAATGATAGACACCCTGACTCAGCCCTCATTATAACCGAATAGTAGCAACAAATCTGATCTTGTTTTGTTGAAACCATGCCAGTCTTCCATGTGCTCCAGTCTCACACCGTACATTAGCCACTATTTGCTGCGACTCGGTCACCGCGCGGTGGACCATCTGCAAAGGCTACGGTGGAGTTGTCTTATGATCCCTCCACAGGGTCCAGGCAGCATGGCCTCTTAACACATATGTCCTTGTCTATCCGACAGTGCACACGAATTGAGCTTCATACCAGACCGTCAAGTTTATTCCAAGAACTGGCTATGTTTGATGATAAATCACCTTCAACGGCAACGCCGCCTCTTGGCTAGATGGCTAGATGGCCCCATCGCGTCTCGTAGGCTCCTCATCCCCCGCCCACCAGCGCCTCTGGCTTTCCCTCCATGCTATCTGCGGAGGCGGCTTTCCCATAACACATTGCACGGTCTCAGTCAAGAGCACGATCATTCCACTCCTCCTGAGCGCACTGCGCAGCATCCGAATATCTCGCTTCCTGATGCGATGAAACATATCACGGCGAAGCCGATAGTCCTTGGAATCCCACAGAACATCGGCATGGAAAGAGGTGCGGGGGACCTCCTCCACCAGCTTCCCCATTCGGAGAGGCTCCGTCGGTGGTCCAACTGTGAAGGGGGAAAGATCTTCATCGCCATAATTATCGTTATCAAGATCATCATCCTCGTGCTCGTCCTCGTCCTCATCATCATGCTCGATATAAGGCAGGCCCTTAATCGAATACCCACCTCGAGAATGCCTTCTCGTGAAAGAAATCAACCCCCGGATTGGGGGCTGCTGCACGAGCATGCGCCGCCAGCTGGCTTCTTTCCGGATGAAGGACGCCTTCTGGTCGGGTTGCGTCAAATCCCAGCGGGGGTTGAGGCCGTCGCGCCCGATCTTCTCCCGGTACTCACCATCAATATTATGAATGATGAACCAGCCCGGGAAAATCTGAACCAAGAGCGGGTTGCGCTGTGGTTGCGGTCGCTCCCAGTCTGGGATCAAGAAGAGGTGCTTTTGCAGGGAAGGCGTGGAGATGAGGTCGTGCCATGCATGACAGACGCGCTGAGCAGATGTCAGGAGGGACTGATTATCCACATGAAGAAGAATATTTTCGAGGACTTCAACGGTCGTGAGGGCTCTGGTCTGGGCGGTTGACATGGTGGGTTGCAAAGCGGAGAGCCCCGCGTTGTACTTGTGTATTTATTCATGTACAGATGGGAGATCAACTGGCCCAGCCATAAGGCTACCTAGTAAGGTAACTTATGGTCATGTGACAAGTTGAGAATAGTTAGTAACTCAAAAAAGCTAGTAGTGGTACTTCCAAGGTTCATAGTAGTTGCTGCGAAACGGACAGTGCCTAAAAGAGACAGCGTTGCCTGAAGAGATGGTTGGTAAAGCATGCCATGTGAGGTGTACTTTCAACGGGAGAATGGTCGTATTGCAAATTGGCACGAGTACCACAACCCGTACTGATTCTTTCCTTTCACCTTGTAGCAAAACCATTAGGACACACCTAACCTCAAGCACCGCTCCCGGCAAAACACGCATAGGGCATGTTTAATAAGACCGCGTATGAGTGCCAACTGCGGGCGAGAGGTAGGCTAGACTGGACACGACCAATTTCATCTCTGCCCGAGATTAAGTACTGTACCGCCAGCGAAGAAGACATCACATAAAATGGCATCGCATTTCTTACTGAATACAAGAAACGGCGGCGTATTTCGCCCCCAGATTTGAGGTTTGTTATTAGTTGACCCCATTGTTTCTGAAAAAAAAAAATGAAAGAAACCAAAAAGAATGGACTTGGGGGGAATCGAACCCCTGACCTCTCGCATGCGAAGCGAGCGCTCTACCACTGAGCTACAAGCCCATGTGACCATGACTCATCATGTTATCTTAGAAATATATTCATAGTGAAGACAACCCAATCCATGGCTTTTGTGCCTTCGCGCTGGCTCATTTCCTTCTACCAAGCCAATGTCGCTATAAACAATGATATAGACGCTTTCCCGAGTTTCCTACAGTACGGAGAAACGATGTTCGAAGTGACTGCCCAAAACTCGCATAGTCCCCACTATGTGGGTCCCCGGGTCCCCCGGCAGCTATAGTGGAGATCCTCCTGCATCCCGTACTCCACTCTGTACCCAGGGGTCATAAAGCCTTCCCTCCACAATAACCACGTGCAAGATCCTTCCATGTGTATCTCGTTAGATAGCTACAGCATCAAGCTTCATATTGCACTCTTTTGACTGCCAGAATGTCCATATACCAGCGAGAAACAGCCCAAAGCATCTTACGGCCGCTGGGTTATGATTTAGTTGCCAGTGCTACTGTACAACAACAGCCGCGGTGGTGTAGTGGTATTAACATTGCAGAGCCCCCGTACTAGCCTTATGCTAGCGGTGTGGAGTGCAGATTCTGGGTTCGAGTCCCAGTCGCGGCAATCTTTTTTTTGCTGGCTTCTGAGGCTGTAGGATGTCATCACGGCGTCTGATACGCACTCGCTGACGGCGGGGAGGGCTGGCTCTACGATCTATACACTAAAGGCTATCACGGGACTGCTGGAGTGTGTGGAGCAACGGCTTCAAGGGACCTCTTGCTAAGTATCAAGAGAGCTTCGGGAAGGTACGGTTAGCTCGATCAGGTTCTAGCGTGGTGCCTTTTGCATGGGAGCGAAGGTAAGACGATGCCAGCACATTGTTTGTTTATCTCGAGAAAAGGAAGACCTATCTGTTTGTCTGAGATGGATATTGTATTAGCGTGTGTAGGCTGGGAATAAATCACAGATCTTACTGAAGCTGTCTTGTTCGAGCAGAGCTATCTTGATACCGAGATATGGTTAGATCAAGGGGTAAGTTAGCCGGGCCTAGACTGAACAACATGCAAGTAGGGAAGGTGCGAGGGGTGCTTATAAGCTTATGTAGCACTAGTTGGCAGCTGGAGACACATCTTCCTCTCACTGTCACAATGAGGCGAGAAACACAACTATCTACCACTGCAAGCTTTTAGGGTCCTGACTTCGGGGATCAGCTTGAAGCCACTGTGAGCCTCTTATGATCATCTACCTAGTCGATCCTCAGGAACTTCCGTTTGAGATAACAAGTCGCAGCAAGGCACAGCAAGTTGCAGATTTTGCAAGAGTATTCCTGGTTGAGGCGTACATACACAAATACTACGATTCACTTCAAGAGGATCATAGATCTTTGATGTCAGCACGCCTATTTTGAGATGGACTGTTCTTTTGACCCATTATTTCCTCCCTCATATATCGCTCGACGCTCATTTAGACTCTCTATACTCATATTTACGAGCTCCTGTACAACCCTACCTTGAAAGTACAGCAATCTCTTTCAGACCTCATCATGAATGTCTTGAAGCGTCGCCAACTTCGTGTCACTATGTCTCTGTGAGTGCGCAGCTTACCCAGTCCAGTGTTCACCTCCCTTCAACTGCAACTGACACTAGTCCTGATCTTAGAGCACTTAGCGGACCTCGAAAGTGCTTATGGAATGGAAATTTCAAGGGCCGAGCCGGCCGACTGTCAAAAGTGTAGCGAGTCCAGCAGCCAGCCTCGCTTTGTGGGGAACCGGGCCGGCTCCACTCAGCCACGGGCTGTACAAATCTGTAAGCACTAATCCGACTAATCACTAAACTTTCTGGTTTTTTTAAAAGTGAACGTTTGCACACTTCTGCTCGATCTCTCTCCTTTCACCCGTTAAATCCTCAATCGCAACAATGGGGATTCTCAATCTCTTTGGCAAGGCAAAGCCCCCTCAGCCTGTAACAGTACCGACCGACACCATCGTCCCACTCTGCTTCTGGGATGGCCGGCCATATCAACACAGTATCTGTCTAAATGTCTCTTACCGGTTCGATGACGTGCTCGATATTAAGACACTTGATCAATCCTTGACGCGACTACTGCAGCGCGGAGATTGGCACAAGCTAGGTGCACGATTACGACGAAATGTATGTACCGTACCGTTCCTCTGATGAAAAAATCACCTAAGCTGAACGACTTTCAGAACGCCGGGCAGCTTGAATATCATATCCCGCAAGAATACAATCCTCAGCGACCAGGCTTCATCCTTACCTCTGAGAAATATCCGATGAAAGCTGCTGAGCATCCTCTAGCGTCAAAAATCCCCACGGCAACAGATACACCCCGTGTACTCGGCACAGCAGGTGAGGTCATCCCCCTCTATCGCCATGCGCAAGCGCCACAATGTCTGGATGATTACATCTACACGGACCGACCCCAACTCACAATCCATGTTGCCTCATTCACCGACACGACCATTTTGACAATTACCTTCCTGCACACCCTCATGGACGGAATGGGTATGTCCAGCTTCTTTGCAGCATGGACAGCTGTACTCCGCGGCCAAGAGGACCAAGTGCCGACTTTCCTCGGATTGGACACGACTCCAATGCAAACTTTGAACAGCACGACCTCTAAAGAACCCTTCGTACATCAAGGCCTCTTACTGAAAGGAATTCACTTGATTATCGGTACCATGTATTTCCTGTGGGAGTATTTCTGGCAGGGTCCGGAAGAGCAGCGTATTCTCTGCATCCCCGGAGCCTTTGTCGACGGAGTGCGAAGTCAGGCAATCCAGGAACTCAAGACCACCATCGGAGATGCCGCTAATCCCCAAGCCCCGTTCCTTAGCGAAAGTGATGTGCTCTTAGCGTGGTGGACCAAAGTGGCAATCACAGCACTGAGCCCGGCTCCAGACCGCTTGCTCGCGTTGATGAACATCTTCGACTTCCGCTCTCTTGTCCTGCCTCCAGAGCTGACTGAACCCTCGAAGAACGTCGCCGTCATCGGAAACGCCACATTTCAGGCTTACACCTTCCTCCGGGTCCGTGAAATCCTCGCCATGCCGATCAGCCAGCTGGCCGCGCAGATCCGCCACTCACTAGTTCAGCAGCGCACCAAGCCGCAGGTGGAAGCCCTGGCAGCGGTGATCCGAGCGTCTACAGAAGCGAATGGGGTTGATGCGACGCTCTTCGGCGATTACAACACGCTTCTCATGGCGTGGTCGAATTGGCACAAGGGCCGGCTCTTTGAGATCGACTTCTCGGCGGCAGTAACATCGATTGGTACATCAACAGCAGAAGGAGAGCGGCGACGCACGAACTCGGTGGGGCGGCCTTCCTATATCGCCGTGAATGGATCTGTGAGCGGCCCCATGCCGACGAATATCGGGCCGATGATGGGTAAGGATGCGGCGGGGAGTTGGTGGTTGACTTGGACCCTGCCCCGATGGGCATGGCCTGCGGTAGAAGAGCAGGTGCATGGGGTAGAAAAGTCGAAAACTCCTTAGCATGATGAATGTTGCAAAAGAGTCTATAGAGTTAATAAGAGGGAAGGTTGGTCGGGATGTTATACAGCTATATATGCCGCGCTGGAAGCAAATCTGTATGATGTTGTTGAGCTATGAGCTCAAGGTCCTATGGAATTATCAAAATTGCATTTATGGATTAATTAGAGTCTGGATCTCTTGATATGATAAGCTGCTGGGCTAAAACATACTATCGTGAGCCTGGAGTTTGAGGTGCGTTTGGGCTTGTGGAGCGACCGGGTCAGGAGCCGGGTCCTGCTGACAGAGGCCCTGGGCCCTCGTTGCCTGGGCGCCGGCCGGCCGCTTCGCTGGCTCAGATAGCCTTTCGGAAACTAAAGTTCTTGCAACCATCTGCTAAATGTATGCACGACGTACAATCTGTACAGCGTTCAAATCAAGCACAGAGGGTATTGTCTACAGACCGATGATTGGTCCGCATTCCCGGTCCAGATCGTCTCTTTCTTACCAAGCTAAAGAATAGATCAATTTTAGGTCTCTCCTCTCTGGGTAGATTCGAACGCTTCAGACATGGCGAGCCTGTTTTCCATCATACAGACGGTAAACCAAAGCCTCTTCGGGTTTCAGCTGACTCTTGCAAAGCGACTCCCAGCCTCCCTCCAAGCCCTGTCCACCAACAACCCCTCTGCCCCAGACCAGACGCAGATCAGGGGCAGCGGATTCCCGATTGACCAGCCAGTGATTCCAGCGCTCATCCACTTCATCGAAGAATCGCTTTGGATCTACAACGGCCAGAGCCGCTTCCATGATGGATGAAGTGTTGAGCTGAACGATACCCAATTGGGCAGCGACAGTGCCCAGGCCAACGAGCTCTTCCCCCGTATAAACCTGTGATTCTCTTCAGGTTAGCCTCTTTCCTTGGCGGATCAACCGAGGAGCGCAAATAGTATATGTTTGTTACAAGGTTCGTCTTACCTTCTGCTGGAGTCCCACGCCAATGAAAACAAGCTTGGCGGCCTTTAAGGCCGGATTATTCTGGATCAGGCCCAACACCTGCTCAACCCCGCCATCTCGACTACCGAAATTGATCAGGACGATCTTGGACGCCTGCTTGCTGGCCAGCCACTCCTCCGCCGCCGCCCCAGCGATTTCCGAGTAAGACACGGTTTTGGTGGGGAACGGCGGAGCGAGCTTTCTCGCTGCGTCCGCGATCGCGGCCGGCGCCGAGGTGATCTGAAGGAAGGCCAGGGGCCCCGTCCCAGCCGGCCTGCAGGCGAGATTGTGCGCGAACGAGCGACCGGTCTTCGTCGAAGCGCCCAGGCTGATGACGACGGCGTGGGAGAGGTCCGCGTCCTCGGCGGCGGTCCACTTCGCCTCTCCCCCCTCCGGAGACGCGCCGGGAGACGGATGCAGTGGCGGATGAGCCGCGGGGTCCGGAGTGAAAACGTACTCGCTGAGGAGATACCCGCAGGTCCAGATCGTCCGCACGGCGCATTCCCACCCCAGGGTCTCGGGGTCTTTAGTTGTCGTTTTGTCGACCACGGAGGTGTACTGGTTGTACAGCCAGAACAGACTCCGGCGGTGCGGGGACACTTCCGTCCAGTGACCGTCGTGCGGCGTCCCGGGGGTCAATTGGAGGTCCACCGCGTGGCCGGACGCCGGCCAGTATCCGAAGATGGATGTTCCCGCCGGGAGTTCGGGGATTGTACTCTCGAGAACGGTCGCGTAGCCCCAGGCGGGCACGATCCCCCAGGCGGCTGGGTCGTTGTAGGGGGCCGGCGCGGTCTGGGGAACTGGGTATGTGTCCCACCACTTCCAGGCGCTGCCAAGCATGGCGTAGGTCAGGTTGTTGGAGGTCAGGCCGATGAGGGAGGCGTGCACCCGGACGGAGGAAGGCGTAAGTGGTTCCGTCGGCTCGGGGAGCTGGAAGGTGGCATGGTGGTCGGGGTTCTGCTTGGAGATAACGTGGACATCCATGGTGATGATATCTATTGGCGGAATGAGTTGGTGGGTGGCTTGGGAACAGGACAGACGAGGGGTTTCGAGGGGTTATATGTCGTACGGGATGTATAGCCTTGCTGATGGGGCGGCTGAATCCTGTGAAGTGGCATGGATTAGTGTAGTTAGTGCTTATGGTTAGTGCTTGTCATGAGAACAATCATTTGTTGTTTCGTCTGAAACTCGGAATTAGCGGGAGGTTCACGTAATGCTGAAGACACCCGCATTAGTCTTTCTTCTGGAATCAGGCATATTCTCCTGAGTCTCCATTTTCAGAGTAGAGTAACGGTAGCTATCACTTGTATTAGTACCGTTGCCTTTCATTGTCCTATCCTGCCCCGCTTGGCTGTCCGATCGCAACACGATCCACTCGCCTTCACTTCGCTTGCTTCAATTGTATATTGCCATCCTACTATGAAATTTCCAGTCATCCTGAATCATCACCCATAATTGCTGAGCTATCTAAGAATAAAGACTGTGTATGCAAGTGTGACAGGCTGACATCTCAATAGACCTCTATTCATTATCCATGTCTTATACTAAACACCTCTAACTCTATGCTAACTACCAACATGACCCAGCAAAACCGACCCCAAAGACCGAAATTCACCTCTGCGGCTCATCCAAAGTAAAATACACACTCAAACATTCAGCAGAAGCAGGGGTGCCCAGCTCCCCGAATACCGAGACACTCACCACTTTCCGCCGTCCCAATTGCTCCCGATGCTGTGCTATGAACCAGCCGGTGGCGCTACCATTCGGGGTCCCCAGAATCGCCATCCCTTCTTCACTACTACCAATGCTAACATCCTCCACTGGGAACGTCACCACGCGATCCCAGCCCCCCAGCGACTGGCCCGCCCTCGCCAGCGCCCGCCTGAGCACCTGTTTGGTGAGTGGGTTGCTGACCCCGGCGTGGAAGATATGGCGGATGGAATCGACTGGCACGCCCGCTTGCTCGGCGAGGCGCGTCCACATCAGGAAGGTGATATCGGACCACTGTTTGAGATGGATGAGCCCCGGCGGGGCCGGGCGGGGGCTTATGAGCCCTCCTCCTTCTTCCTGAAATTCTCCGGCTCCCATCTTCGCGACCCCCATCGGACTCATCAGATTATCGGCGATGATGATGCCACTGGCTGTGTTGTAGAGGTTGCTGTACCACGCTCCGGTTGCCTATCACGAAACGCCATCAAACGCAGAACCCTGCAGGTCAGCGATCAAGGCGGCCCTTCGTTTTATCTGATAGATAGACAGATAGATAGGCGAGAGAGACGCGCACGCAGGGAAGGAAGGAATAAGAGCCCTTACAGGATAGGTCATCCCATCGATCACGGTGGGTTCCGTGTTGGATATACACACAAACACGTTATCCTCGATCCGGGCATGGAGGTCCCGCGCGAACAGTCGAGCAAATGCCTCCTCGTCGTACATCGCCTGGGCATACTCTGGCATCCAGTTCCAGAGCTCCAGGGCACGGGGCTCGGTCCAGGGGCTGGCGGCGGGGATGCGGCGGTGCGGCGAGAGGGTGTCCAGGTAGGCTTGGAGCTCCGCGGTGGTGGGCATGGAGAACATGCGCACGAACGCGCGGCCTTTGGCTGCCGCGGTGTCCCATGTCGTCTCGTCGCTGTCGATTTCGTGCTCGAGGGTGAGGATCCGACGGGTTGGATGGGAGGTCTGGTGCTGCTGTCGCTGATGATGGTGATGATGATGGTGTTGCAGGTATGAATAGATATTCGGGAGGGAAAGTCCGTATATGGAGAGGAGAGCCTTTAGCTGGGCTTCGTAGTGGGCTAGATATCTCGACATTTTGAGGAATAATATGTTGTGTACGATCTAAGTGAAGGAGTGAGTGAGTGTATGTGGGTTTGAATATAAGTTCTTCGTCGGTGGGAAGGAATTCCATATTCAGGGAAAGCACTGGGGTAGACACAGCCCAGTGCTGTAAGGCAGGTAGGGACTGGACTGTATCGTACTTGTTCTATTATGTTTACTGTGCTAGGTACGGTCCTTGAGTATGTATATATAGTATACGGTCAAGCGGCCCGGGGGAACGAACGACCCAGTACACTCACCACGTGGACGTATCTACACATCTGGGTAACACTGATATCTCCCATCATTCCGATCCCAACCCACCCCCTGATGCACCGTGAACATGTTTTCTGGGTCTACCTCTTTCTTGATGCGAAGGAGACGCTCATAGTTTGCCTTGCCCCAGAACGCACCGATGGGGTCCGGCTCAAACGGGTCGGCTTCGTTTTGATAAGCACCGGAATCGGGCGTGAATTCCCGCAGAGGATCCATGGCGTGGGAAACACTCTGCCAGACTTGTCGTATGAGCTCTGGGTCCCTCATGCTGCTGTCAATGGCACGTATGTGAAGGAGATGCCAAAGCCCACTGCGCCATGCCGGCGTAACTGATGATGCCCCGGGTCCGAAGGATTCATCCTCCTTTGGTAGATTCTGCGAATACAGCGCTGGAGCGACGAGAAGAACCGCTACTTGAGGTGCAGGGGGTGTTGGTAGAGTATCGTTGAGGACCACCAGTTGGGTTATAAGCTCAGCCAGTCGAGCCTGACCCGTTGTGTTCTGGAACGACGTTCGTGGGATGATCCGCGACGAGACGGCGGTGGACACCTCCGACATTTGTACGAGAGGGTTCGAGGTGATGGGCTCCATGAAGTCGAGGAACCCGGCAACCGAGGAGAGGGTTGCGCTCGAGGTATTGAACTGGCGAGCAAAGTCCAGCACCGGCTGCGCGGACGCCATCGCGGCCGAATGGTCCAGCAGAGCTGTGGCTATGATCAAAGCGTAGTCTGTTGAACCCGGAGTCAGGAATCCACCCCATCCCTCCGCAGCCCATCGCTCGGCATTCGCAATTATTAAGGATGTGAAATCTTTTGCGGCGGAAGAGTAGGGATCCAACCCGGTCAAGGAAACATTCAGGACTTCCATTGGTCGATCTGGATGGACGAGGGTGCTCATCTCCATCACGACGCCAAAGGTCCCGCCGCCGCCACCGCGCAGCGCGAAGAACAGATCAGAATTCTGGCATCGAGTTGCAGTGGCATATGTCCCGTTGGCGAGTACGACTTTGATTTCTTGGACGTTGTCGACCCCGAGACCTGGCTCACTGTCAAACTCCCACGCGCGCAACAGAACTGTAGATGAACGTGCGAGGGTATCACTCACCAAGTTCATTAGCCATCAGCCCATGCCCACCACCAGTAATCCATCCCCCCGCGGCTCCGACACTATCGCAACCTCCTCCCACGACCCGATATCCCCGTGCATGCACAAAGTTATAGATGCCTTTGAACTGTTGTCCCGCCCCGAACTTGATCACATCTCCCGTAGGGGCCGAACAGCCTCCTGGAGTGAAATTTTCAAGGAGCTGGATGGGGGGTTGGTATGTATGCGTCCTAAGAACTAGTCAACATTCCCCTGTCTCAGGGACAGCAAAGGAAAAGAAGAAACACACCACAGCGCAAGAGAATCCGGCGCTGAGCTCCGACCCTTGTAATCATGACCGGTGTTCTTAATGACGAGTCGGAGTCCGTGAGATCTGGTGAAGTTGAGAGTGGCTTGAACGTCCTCTATTCCTCGCACCTCCACGTAACGCGGAGAAACACTACCTTGCTCGCAAGTAGTATTGGGTGGTAGAGACGAAGGGATGGGGCATGATGCGCCGGTGGCTTGGCAGGTGGACCAGACGGACTATTTTCCACACCTTAGCAAAGTACAATTACCGGTTGTGAATGAGTAGTGATGGTGTCTGACGTTGTGATACCAAGGAAACTCGTTCGACGCCAGAGTTGAGTTGAGAAGAAGCTCTTGCTCAGCGGTGCACTGAGCGGCATCTAGTGGTTGGGTTGGATCGTGACTGGATGAATAGCACGGGCTCATCATTGGGGCGCCTTCGTGGAGCCGTCCGACGACAGTCGCGTTAAATGCGTTCCAGGTCGCTGCGCTGATACTCGATAATGAAGCCCATGTTTGCGGGTTCGATGACTGTGCCCGATTGGCGAGTAAAGGAATGGCAAGAAGGATAGAAAAGAAGCCTTGCCTCGCCATGCTTAGTTATAACCACCAGTTATGTACAGTATTTTACAAGCTGAATTAGCAGCTTGCTATTTCCCCCTTGACACATGCTGAGAAAGTGAGAAAGTATACATGGGACATCGAGTGCCTTATATATTCTCTTCTGGTATAGAACACAAGTGGACCCTTACATGAGACGCAAACCTAGATTTAGGCGATGGACTGGTGTGTGGGCTTATATCGATCGAAGTACCCCAAAACAGCAAAAGGAAGTCCAATAAGATGACGTCGAAGTGCATGAAAAAGGTCAGCTGAGTCTTATGTAGCAGGAACGTACATATGACAGGGAGACCTTGATAGCCACAAACAACTGATGTCAGGGAAAAGCACGGTGTGTCTGGTGAAAGTCAGCTTGGAGCCCCAACTAATCGGCCCGCAACAACAAGCCATCTCATGCAGAAGATGACAAGCATGGACATATTTTTAATCGCATATTTCAGGTAACGGCCGTGGGAGGTTTACCAGGCCAGCTGTCATTCTGACTGTGTTGGTCTGCTATGCCAGACCGAGCGACTTGATTGTCGCGTCCTTGGGCCTCGGTAGTTCAGGCGATAGCTTTTGCACCCAATAAATAAACTGCAGGCTCTGCGGCGAGATCAGAAGTCCGGCTATTTTCGACTCAACTCTCAATTTGAACTGCTCTGGACAGTCACAGATGCAGCTTCTCAGACCCTGGCAATAGAGGCAAGCCGTCCGCAATGCTTAGCTCGTAACCGAGTAACAAACCGGCGTGCAGCCAGGGCTGCAATATGTCAACCAGCAATCTGAGTCCAGTCCATACAGAAACCTTTACCTAGGCTGGATATACACGGCATTTCTCTTCTCGAGGCGGTGCTATTGGCGGTTCCACTGGAAGCAGGCAGCGCTAGGTTGGCTGAATTGTTGGCAGTCCTTTGACTTGTATCTGCTGACTCGGACTGCGACTCAGAGATCTTGGTTGTAATGTCCATCCAGGATAGAGCTTCATAGCTATGCTCCTTTATCTCTTCCTGGAGCAGGCTACCACTCAGTACATACACAGTACCTTGATATCCGACTTGTAAGGGGGCGCGTTCTTTTTTGGAGTTCAGAAACTCGTCTCGCTGTGTTGGTGGTATCTGCGGATCAAGTACTCAGGATCACTGGCAGTAGCAGGGACCTTCACGGTCAAAAGATGTGTAGAAGTGATGGGCAGAGACGCGGCAATGTCCTTCTGTATCGCGAAGGATGCGACATGCACCGTGTCGAGGGCCTACCGTGTCGAAGGTTTTCCGTGTACCTGAATCGCCCGGTTGCAACGGGGTAGTGCTACATCTTAAGGTATACCAGGCTCGCTGTTGCATATCAAGTCAAGTTGCCGGTTGCTGTGCTGAGTGAGGACAGCGCGAGTCACTTCGGAATACGAACCATCGTATCAGGAGCAAAGCAGGAATCTTTTGCACACACTGACCCGGAAACACTGAAATGCCAGGAACTTCCTTGAGGGCAATGGAGGAAGTAAGTGTAAAGTCGGAGCGTGGCGACGAGGTAATTGCACCAGGCATGAGTGCCGATATTGTACGGCGGTGGTATGAGCAGTACGAAGGCTTCTACAATGAGAAGGCTGCCTGAGGAATGGGTTGACTTACGGCCGGGGACGCATCTTCAGGAAAAGGTCTCTTTTCGATAGGTGCAAACAGCCATTGCGAAGAGGACCTTACAGATATAATCGACAACCAATGACAAGAGATGTCACTTAGTCTCGATTTGCGAATTCACCCTTGAGAAGTGGCGAGACAATCCCTTCTGGCGCCCATACTTCATTTGACAATGATTCAGATATCCCGCTCGATTCTTCACGGGAGGGGGCACAATCATACAATAGTCAAATGCGGAAGAGGCGGGTCACACAGCACACACGATACTGGGGATTCTGTTGACAAACAACGCCTCCACTGGAACTCGTGGATTGTTGTGCTGCTTCCCTAAGCGTGCACTGATTGTAAGCATTCGGCACAGGAAATGATTATTTGCTTCATTACGCGTCAATTGAGGCCAGACTTTGTAGTAAGACGTGTCTATGTTTCCTCTATACAGTGAGTTAGCCACGGAGAAAGAATGTATGCTGGGACATTTGGAGAAGTCGATCGCGGCAAGTCGGCCGACCTCGCCGCCTTCCGCCGCCGGAAATAATGATTTGAGGCAGCTCCGGCGGCCCACTTGCTGCTGTTGCTGCTGCTGCTGTCTGCCATGACCTTTCTACGAACACTTCATTCAATTTCACTACACACTCGGAGGCAGTTCTACCAAAAGCCTCTATTCCCTGTCCAAGTTCTTCGAGCCCGAAACCATACAATGCCCTTGACACGCTCCACCGATCCCCTGGTGTGGATCGACTGCGAGGTTCGGGAACCTTCTTTGCAGCCTGTCCTGCGTTGTCTTGAAGCCACGAGCCTCATCCGCTGACGCACCCTGTCTTCTTGACGGACGATTCTAGATGACCGGCCTGGACCCGGAAACCGATCAAATCCTCCAGATCTGCTGCTACATCACCGATGCCGACCTGAAGCTCCTCGAGCCGCAGGGGTTCGAAACCGTCATCCATCAGTCGCCCGCGATGCTGGCGTCCATGAACGAGTGGTGTATCGAAACCCACGGTCGCACTGGGTTGACGGCCGCGGTGCAGGCTTCCACCGTCAGTGCGGAGTCGGCAGCGGCGGCGTTGCTGGAGTACATTCAACGGTATGTGCCGCAGCCGCGGACGGGGTTGTTGGCGGGCAACAGCGTGCATGCGGACAAGGCGTTTCTGGCCAAGGGACCGTACCAGAGCGTGTTGGAGTGGTTACATTATCGGATTGTAGACGTGAGCGCACTGAAGGAGATGGCGCGGCGGTGGGGATCGGATGAGTTATTAGCGGCCGTGCCTGCGAAGAAGGAGGTGCATCTGGCGCGGGAGGACATTCTGGAAAGCATCGCAGAGATGCGCTTCTATCGGGAACGGCTGTTTAGATAGCCTCTGGGAGCTTTAGTAGCTCTACTACTAGTACTAGACAAGCTACTAGTAAAAGGGGGAGGTCTGTGGGTTTTGGACCGGCGGGGAATGAGCTGAGCTGGCAACAAGAATAGCTTCTATTTAGGGAAGCTTTTTTTTAGGGGGTCAAGAATCATAATTTGTACGGGCGTTTGTACGGAGGAGGGGTAGAGAATGAGGGGAAGGGAAATTGTTAGAGACAATTGCATGGGAAGATGCATTATGATGAGATGATGAGAACTGATGACCGCCACATTATGACACTGCTAACTGTCACCACCACCAACAAATAAACAAACGAACAACAGACGAACAACAAACGAAACCAATCCCACCTCATGCACCACCACCCATACCACCCATGAACGAACGCAATTGCAATCGGGAATTGAAGTGGGGTTTTCTAGTAGAGACTTTGTCTTGCATCGGAGCGGGACCAGAACCAGACCCAATCCCAATCAATCCCAATCCCAATCAATCCCAATCCCAATCCCAATCCCAATCCCGCCGCCCGCTGCTGCTCCTCGCCCTGATCCTGCTTTCTCCTGCTTTCTCCTCTCTCTTGCTACAACTTATTAACTCCCTCTGTTCCCCTCCTCTTCCTTCTCTTCCTTTTCCTCCTCTTCTCAATTTATTCCATTCCTCTTTTCTTTATTTTCTCTCCATCATTTGGATCGTCAGTGAGCTGTATATATCTCACAGCTTGTGCCTGACCTTTTCTAAATAATATACCCCTCTGTTTTGATTACCCCTCCTCCACGTCATCATGTCTGTCCAGACCGTCTCCATCACCCCATTCTCCGACCAGAAGCCTGGAACGTACGTGATACCTTCTGCTGCCCTCTCACCGTTCCGAAAACAGTGGAACTAATAATCTACAGCTCTGGTCTTCGTAAGAAGGTCAAGGTCTTCCAGCAGCCCCACTACTCCGAGTCCTTCATCGCCAGCATCATCCTCTCTATCCCCGAGGGTGCCGAGGGAGCTTTCCTCGTCATTGGTGGTGATGGTCGTTACTACAACACTGAGGTCATCCAGAAAATCGCTAAGATCAGTGCTGCCTATGGTGTCAAGAAGCTGCTGGTCGGCCAGAACGGCATCCTCAGTACCCCGGCTGCTAGCAACCTCATCCGCAAGCGTCAAGCTACCGGTGGTATCCTCCTGACTGCCAGTCACAATCCTGGTGGTGAGTTACAAACCCATTCCTGAGAACAAAAACAACCTGCATCAAGTGACTGACGATGTTGACCGTGTAGGTCCCGAGAACGACTTCGGTATCAAGTACAACTTGACCAACGGAGCTCCCGCCCCCGAGTCTGTCACCAACAAGATCTACGAGACCTCCAAGACCCTCAAATCCTACAACTACGTTGACATTCCCGATGTGGACATCTCCTCCATCGGAACCAAGACCTACGGTGAGCTCGAGGTCGAGGTCGTCCACTCCACCTCCGATTACGTCACCATGCTGAAGGAGATCTTCGACTTCGACCTCATCCGCAACTTCCTCCAGACCCACAAGGACTTCAAGGTTCTGTTTGATGGTATGCACGGTGTCACCGGACCCTACGGTGTGGACATCTTTGTCCGCGAGCTGGGTCTGCCCGAGAGCAGCGCCATGAACTTCGAGCCCAAGACCGACTTCGGTGGTGGCCACCCCGACCCCAACCTGGTCTACGCTCACGAGCTGGTGGAGCGGGTCGACAAGGAGGGCATCCACTTCGGCGCCGCCAGTGACGGTGACGGTGACCGCAACATGATCTACGGTGCCAACACCTTCGTCTCCCCCGGTGACAGTCTGGCCATCATCGCCCACCACGCCAAGCTGATCCCCTACTTCAAGAACCAAGGCGTGTACGGCCTGGCCCGCTCCATGCCCACCTCCGGTGCCGTCGACCTCGTGGCCAAGGCCCAGGGTCTCCAGAGCTACGAGGTGCCCACCGGCTGGAAGTTCTTCTGCAACCTGTTCGACAACAAGAAGATCTCCATCTGTGGTGAGGAGAGTTTCGGTACGGGCAGCAACCACATCCGCGAGAAGGACGGTCTGTGGGCCATTGTGGCGTGGTTGAACGTCATCGCCGGCGTCGCCCAGCAGAAGCCCAACGAGACCCCCAGCATCGCCTCCATCCAGAACGAGTTCTGGCAGACTTACGGCCGCACCTTCTTCACCCGCTACGACTACGAGAACGTCGACAGCGACGGTGCCAACCAGGTCATTGCCACTCTGGCCAAGTACGTCGACAACAAGGACTCATTCGTTGGCTCGACCGTCTCCGGCCGCAAGGTCGCTGACGCCGGCAACTTCTCCTACACCGATCTCGACGGCAGCGTTTCCAAGAACCAGGGTCTCTACGTCAAGTTCGACGATGGCAGCCGCTTCGTCGTCCGTCTGTCCGGCACCGGTAGCAGCGGTGCTACCATCCGTCTGTACATTGAGAAGCACGAGAACGATGCCAGCAAGTTCGCCCAGAAGACGGACGAGTACCTCAAGGACAACGTCGCCCTGGCCCTGGACCTTCTCAAGTTCAAGGAGTTCATCGGCCGCGAGGAGCCCGATGTCCGCACTTAAAAACATCTGCACATATCTACTATCTAAATTACTTAGTCTATACGAGCCTACGGAATCAAGCACGTTGTTTAATATAGCGATAGCAAAATAATAAATCAGCGCAGTAGCATTTTCTCGTGATCATCATAAGCAATCATTAATTATGTTGGAACTAATAAGAAGCCATAAATCATAGCTCGGCTCTTACCCCCCCCCCCTTAACCATCAGCAGCACCGAATAAAGATCACCGAGACCCCTGCAACTTCCCCTCCCACCACTCCGCCCACCTCACCACCTTCTCCTCCCGCCTCGCCTCCTCCGCCGCAAACACCACCGCATGACTCCGCACCGCCTCCTCCAACGTACACCCGACAAACCGGCTCTGGGCCTTCTCGGCCGCCCACCCACCATTCACCACCGCGTCCACGGCCGCCACGAACCCGCGCGCCAGCCCGTAGTCCCCGCCACCGTGCGCCTTCTCCTCCTCCGGCGGCTGCTTCGGCACGTCGATGACGGTCGTGGCCCCCGTCGCGAACCGGAAGAACTCGATCCGCCGCCCGTCATACGCCAGCTCGCCCTCGGTGCCGTAGACCCGGCCGCGCCGCTCGCACTGCCTCTCCGTCGGGGCGATCATATGAAACACGGCGGTTTTGGCGGTCGCCGTCGCCGTCTGCTGCTGATCAAATTGATCATCCCATTTGATGGTGACGATCTGGTCATCGCAGACATTGTTGTCGGCCTCGTAGACGCAGTGGCCGTAGGATGGGGGCCCGCCTGGTTCGTTCCGGGAGAGGGGGCGGGAGGCGCGGAGACGGGCAAGGAGGTGCGCGGAGGCTGCTGCTCTTGCTTCAGCGTTTATGTTTGTGGGATTGGGGTTGGGATCGGAATCGGGGGAGGCTTCCGAAAGAGCAAGGTACGGCGCGACGACGTCCTCGATGTCCGGACACACGATGTTGACGGGCCAGTCGAAGTCGCCGCGGGCCACGTGCCGCTCGTCGTAGATCTTCACGGCGCTGTATTTGCAGTCGCGTTCGGCGGGGCAGGACAGGCAGTTGGTTGCGGCGCCGGCGGCCGGGGGTTTGCGGTGCGGTTGGAATTGGGTGAGTGAGCCTGTGGAGGTGATGGTGCGGGGGTGGTGCGGTTGCGGTTGCGGTTGCGGTGTCGTTGTATGTGCTTTTGTTTCTGTGGGTGCAGAGAGGAGCCACATGATGAAATCGATGTCGTGGCAGGATTTGGTCAGCAGCGAGCCGTCGCCCGCGGGCGTCTCGCGCCGCCAGTTGCCGCGGACGTAGCTGTGGGCGAAATGCCACCAGCCGACGGGCTCGCAGTGTTCCAGGGAGACGATGTCGCCGATGACGCGGTCGGTGAGGAGCAGTCGCCGGAGGAGGATGTTGTGCGGGCTGTAGCGCAGGACGTGGCCAATGGAGAAGATGGTGGTGGCGGTGTGGGGTTGCAGGGCGCGGTAGACGCTGAGGCAGTCGGTCAGGGAGAGGGCGAGCGGCTTCTCGCACAGGATGTGCAGGCGCAGAGGCGCAATGGCGTGAATGATCTCCGCGTGCGTCTCGTCGAGGGTGCAGATGAAGACTCCGTCGACCCCTGCGGCTGCCGCGGCTCCAATAGATGAGGGTTGACGGATGGGATTCGAGGCCAGCTCGCGACGACGGACCTCCCAGGCGAGCCAGTCGCGCCAGTCAGCAAATTCCTGCCCCTCTTGGGGGTGATTGTTGGTGCCCCAGATGTAGTTGCGACCGAATTGGCGACGTTTGAAGGGATGGGGTTCGGCGACAGCATGGATGATCCCCGCGGTGGAGCTGGTCACCGCCCGCCCATACGCATTTCCCCGCGATCCCGCACCGATGACGAGGAACCGGAGCGGGCGGGGAGAGGGATTGGCAGCAGGAAGAGTGGAGGATAAGAGAGGGAGGGCAGGCTCTTTCATTTTGGCTCCGATGGATGGTACGTATGTATGAGTAGGGGAGAGGAGGGGGTCCAGGGAAGGGAAGTCTATGACTTCTTTATAGTATGAGTAGGACAAATGCTGAGAAACCCCGACTGCTGGTTGGTCCACGATATCTTATGTCATCTGCCAGCAGAGCAACGATCGACAGCCATTGACAGGTAACTCTAGAAAACTAGTAGAACTACCTTATAGATCAGTCAATACCGACAGGTTGTCCATTAATTAGAAATTAACAGGCAAATGTACATTGAGCCCCCTTCAACTAAACAGAATAAGAAAAAAAATGAATTGGGGTATCCATATAAAGAAAAAAAAGAAAACAGGCTAGCAAGTAGTGCAGAATCAAGACGTGTCTCAAAAGACCCAGCATTCCTCCGTCGCGGTCTCCGAACTGGCCAAACAACATCCCCCTTCTTTCCTTGCCGGCCAGTCATCACCGAGCGTCCAACGCTCACCCAAGAACCCATGTACAACTTCTCCAGATTTATGTACAGAAACTCAAAAGCATATATGCACCGGGTGGAAGACGACAAAAGGCCGTCCACCATTTCCAGGCGAGCGTGGTTTAGATACTTTCCGTGAATCGGCTGCCTCGACTGCCATCGAAACTAGGATGACTTCGACCTAACGCATCTGGCCGTTTGGGCATGGTCGGCGAAAGAGAACCAGACACCTGCACATGCACGGACGGAATCATACGCGGCGCTGAAGGTTCGCTGTTCAGACCACCACTGGACCCCGTCACAGTCCGAGCAGGAGATGGACGGAATTTGACCACCGGCAGAGGCTCATCCGCTTCTCGAGTATAGCTCGTGTCTAGGGGCATGCCATACGGTGTAGTCAACGGGGGCTGCGAGGGAGGCGACCGCGGGATCACCGGAGATCCTGGAGCGGCATAGGTAGAGCTGGGCTCAGATGCCGTGGGTGAGGTCTGCTCGACGCCGCCACCATACCCATCCCCGCCCGAATGCAGCACTGAGGGGATTTTCCGGCCCGAAATCTTCTGAAAGCCACGTTCGCTACTATCGGAGCACACCGAGTCCGTCGTACGAGTGGTCATGTGCGATTGGCGCCACCGCTGCATGAACGCCGGAGCAAAGTACGAGGCGGTAAATAACGGGTCATTGCTGGATCGGCGCGAAGTCATTTCTGCCGAGCGGGTAATGGATCCTTCGGTAGTGGCTGTACCAGCCATGTCCGCTGCAGGAAGAGCATCACGTGTCTGAGGAAGAATGGCCCTCTTGCGTCGGCGCAGCAGAAGCCAAAGCAAGACAACAAACACCATGGCACCCGCTACTCCCCCAACTACACCGCCAGCTATCTTGCCTTTCGCTTGAGTGCTGAGACCGCCAGCAGCGGCGGCTGCGGTGGTTGCCGATGGTGATGGCCCGGTGGCAGTGGCGTCTGCTCCTCCCACTGCGCCATTCGTGGCCGTCCCCCAGGCTCCAGCGTAGGAGGACGTACCAGACCAAGAAAGGGATGTCGTGGCCGTACCAAATGAAACGTGAGAAGTCGTTGTGCCGGTTTGATAGCCGTCAACATAGGACACACTTGAACTTGACGTGGTAGCTGTGCTGGAAGTCTGGGTCGAAGTTGCGCTTGAGTCGGTGCCCGTGCTTGTCGGTCGAATCGGGGTGGAGGATGCCGGAAGATGGGTCGAGGTAGCGCCAAAGAGAGGAGTTGATGTTTTGGACGGATTCAGACTGGACGCAGGAACGGAGGTGGACGGCTCAGTGGCCGTGGTCACTGTAGGAGTATCTGCGGTGGGAGAAGAATACGCTGGAGACGCGGTCGATTGCCCGTCGGCGGATCCGGTTGCCGAAGTTGGTGCCGTGACCGAACCTGACTCCGCCGACAAGCCAGATGTCGTTGCTTGAGTGGACTCGTCAGATGTGGCGGAGGGGGTTTCTGTTGTGCTCAGCCCCGTTGTCTGTGAGCCAATATCCACCACGTTGGACACTGTCGCAACAACTGTCGTCTTATCGTCTGAAGATGTATTTGATTCCTGGCGTTTCAAATGTTGTGATTGCCCGCTGTTTTGTGACTGCTGAGTCTGACCCTCCTGACCGATCGCAAGCTCGTCCCCCATCCCGGACACCACATTTTCCTGCAACATCGTGGTCGGCAAATCTTTGGCGTCTGGCTCCCGGCCTGCAACTCCCATCCCACCTTCGTCTGACTGGTATCGTTTCCTCATCGATCTGTTAAATCGCGTATGCCCAGTTCCATGATGGGCCATTCTGCCTAAGCCCCTATTGCGCGCCGACCCGCCGATATCTCACCTCAATGATATACTGCGCAGTGAACCTCAAATACAGCCGTGCTGAAATCCTCTACCACAACTGCCCACTCTGCCCACTATATCGACTGAAACGAGAAAGTAAGGATATGAAATAAGGTTGTCTGCCTGCGAGACACGCGACTGCTCAGTGAAAAGGAGTGTGATGGCGAAGGCCGTTCGAAAGTCGGTTGTTTTGGAAGTCGAAAGAGCGTGGAGAAGGAAAACAAGTGACGAAATTCAGTCGATGAATAATGAAAGACACCAGAAAAGCGACTGCGATATCGAATGCTAAGAGAGCGACTGTCGAAAAACGATGTGAAATGCTGCTGGTAAAAGTTCCGGACAGCGATGATTTGTGAATAGCAATGAGTGGACGTCAGCCGGGACAAGCAGCCGACAAAAACCGGTGGAATAGGACAAGATGAAGAGAAGAGAACCCGAAAGGCATAGACGCAGACCTAGTGCGACAGGCTGACCCTGATGTCAGTATGTCTGACCAAAGCAGCTCCATTGAATGCCGAGATAATTGAAGGGGAGAGAGAGATTCAGCAGATGGGTTGAATGGCCTACCTGCAAACAAGAAGAAAAGAAACAGCGGAAAGTCACAATCGTGTGGTGGATGCAATGTTGTTCCGAGGTTGACCTGATTGTTGAGTGGCTTATTGATTGCGCTTTCCAGTCAGATCCATACTGGCCGAGCAGCAGAGCAATGCTTGCGGGAGGAGTTTTGAGATTGACCGCGGGGCGGCTCTGACGAGGGTCGAAGAAGAAGATGATGATGATGAAGAACACCGAAGCTGAATGGTACTAAATTGCTTTGAGGCTCCCACCGGGCAGAGAGGATCCACGCTAAACCCAAGGTTCCGGACCTAGTCTGCCACCACGGATTCTCGTCGGATATTCGCTTGTTCGCCCCGGGTTCGAGTTCGTGTCGGTCTCAGTTCGTCGGCGGATATGGCGGACACGATACTTCCTTTGGCCTACAATAGAATCGCACTGGCCGCTTTCGTTGTTGGCACTGCTCACTGCGCCGGCTTACTGTACTGCACGAGTTGGGATAGCCCAGCCAGTCCCGGCTGCGGTGGTTGCGTTGACGGACAAGAAAAGGACAAATGAATGGATTCAACGCCTCAGATCGAGAGGCAAGTTAAGATCAGGATTAGATAGGTTAATACGGTGGCTGCTAAGAAGAGAGATCAGATGAAAAAAAAAGATTAAAAAAGAAACAAAAATAGGAGGTAGTCGAGCTTTGAGAGAATTGATAGGAGAGGGGAGGGAGGAGGGGGTGGAGGGTAAGAGGGAAGAGGAGAAGGAAGAAAGAGGAGGGGAAGAAGAATAGTAGGCAAAGCTGTATGAGGCGAGGAAAGAGAGGAGAGAGTCAGGAACCAGGACGGCAGAACAAGACCAGAACAAGACCAGAACAAGACAGAGAAAGCGACAACAGAGACAGAGAGTCAGAGTCTCGACATGACCTCCGCAGGACCCATGGAACTCACCCGCGTGGGCAGGCAAGCCCAAGTCAGGTCTCACTCACTCACTTCACTCATTTCACTTCCCTCACTCGCATTTCGATCAGGCCAGGCCTAAGAATAGGTCTTAGACCTGCAGCGGCGTCGACTTTAGTCGGAGTGGGTGCCGTACCGAAACCAAGCCAGTACGACTATGGGGCAATGAGACCACTAATTTGCTATCTTGCCAATCACCAGCCTGCATGGAGACTCGCAGATTGGACAATTACGTGGGAACGAGGGAAAGGTAATCTGCCAGAAGGCGCAAATATTTTTGCCTGAGTCGATGATTCCAGTCCAGTCGGAGAAGAGATCCAGGTTAGGAGAGCAATAATGTAATGTACGGCGTATGGTGAATCAAGATCCATGATCCGCCCCCCCCCCAATGATCCGCATGCAGACAAGGTTGTAGCCGCAGCCTGCCCATCATCTTTTGCCACTTTTGGGACTTTATTGTTTTTCTTCTCTTTCTCTGCTTGAGGTTCTTTCGAAGTGTTTCTCAATGGGTGTCGATGAACATGATTGCTTTTTTCTGGTAGCTTGCATCTGTTGTTATGATGTACGTAAGATTGAGAGAGAGGGTTGACTCCCGAGTTCCGGTATGTCCTGCCGTGCCGGCAACGCAACTTCAATGCTTGACCAAAAAGGGGATGCCAAGGCTGAGGTTAATAAAACACCGGGCGCTAAGTTTCATTAGACCGTTAGGAAATGAAATGAAATGATAATGGGAGAGAACTTCCATCCATCAAATTGCACGGCCGACCACCATCGCCCGTCACACTGATGATGCCATCCCATTCTACTCACGACGCCAGAGACCCTCTCTTGCTGCCAGAGTTACCCAATCGTGCATGCCGATTCCCGTCTATTGCGGGTGCCGCACATACACTAGCCAAATTCGAGCAGGGAGAGTACGTACTAGGAAAGAGATGGGTCGGGATACAGCAGGGCAACCATCGTCAACCGGGTTGATAAGAAGAAGCTAAGCACGCAGAATTTTCTCTTCGTTCTTTCGGTGGAAGAAAGGACTCTGGATGCTTTGACTTCTCCCAGGTTATATGCATGTATGCGCATGACAATGGGGCTGTTTTCGCATTCATCTGAGCTTTCCCGAGCCATTCGGAGGAGCACCTTCAATGCCATCCGTCCTACGTAAGGGGAGCCCCTTCCCACCCCAAATGTCACCACCAACGCGGCAAGGTACTCGGAGGGGAAGAGTAAGTAGTATGCCAGCTTAGCCAAACGGTCCGGTCTGCTAAGCAGCAAGCCGAATAACTCCAAGGACTCGGTCGGGCCTTATGCAATGCACCTCGAAATTTCCAGGCCGGAGCCAGACTCGCCCACGCGATACGAACTCCGAATAAGCATCATTTTGCAACATATTGTCCTACCCACGACAATTCAAGCCTGAGCAAGCCTGAGCGTAGTGATTTCTCTTAGCTCGTTCCCACAGATTGAGTAATCTTCTAAACAAGACTAACCACTGTAGCTAGTGCAAATTATAATCCCGTCTCGTTGGTCTCGTCCCCCCCCCCCCCCCCTTCCCCCAGGTGTCTAAGATCTCCTGTCCCCCCCGTGCCCTGGTTATCAGCAAACTCCATCCTACCTGCATAGCAGATAGCACGATTCGCGTGCCGTCGATGTAGATGAGATCCTTCGAAAGAGGAGAATGTTTCAGATGACATGTTTCACTCCGGGCGGGAGAGTAACTAAAAAGGACTCGGGCGAGCATTGATCGATTGGTGCTTAGAGAATCTACGTGAGGTTGACATCGTTTCAGCAAGGCTGATAGGATACACATACAACCGACCGATGCAGGTACCGAGCTTAAGATATTCCTGTCTTGCAGGGTGCGTACAAGCACATAAAGAATCTCGAGAAAGTCTCAAGTAGCTGGTCTTGCTTTCCGCCATCATGGACGTAAACAAGCAGTGGCAACCGATCGAAGGGTAAGAAATATCCTCCAATCAGAATCCATAAGATGCATACTTCAATGACAGGAAAACTTGTATACCTACTTAGTAAGTCGACGCCCATTCAGGTCTCCTATTGAGCCTTCAACTTAGATGCTATAATATCATCCCCTACAGTCTTCATTCTTAGATGATCCAGTCCGATAGGCAAGAAAAACAAGCAACTCATTCATATTCAAACATTCCAATCTGGCGATTTCACCCCCCCATTGTGGGACCCCAGATCGACACTAACTTACCCAGTCAGTTCTAGCCTCAGCAGCCCCTGTTTGAGCATACCCGTTCACTTACTAGCCGACATCCATATGTCGAGCTTGGAAGCACCCATTGGTGAGTGACCCGAAGGTTGATGGTTGATGGTTGACTCGCACAAAGTTTCAGGAGACAACATATACTCAGCAATCCGAAGTACTTATTCTCATATTGCAGAAACCTGGTCCGTCCGTTGCAAACCCCAAAACCACAGGACGATGCTGAAACGAAGCATTGACCCGAAATTCAAAAGTGGTATATTCTGAGCATGCCGGAGCCAGAGTCCGGCAGACTTTCCTTCTTCTCTTATAGACTTATCATAGTTAGACAATGTGAATTGGTCATAGGTTGTTCAGTGACACGAAGGTGGATGGAAGGCAACAACAGCTGCCCAGTGGTGTATTTTCTGCCACCGCCTCCCCAAGCTCCTTGGTCCTCGGCTCGTTCATTATTCGTCGGAGCTTGTTTCTGGTTTCAATAGAGCATCAATCGAAGTCCAGGGCTATAGAAAACAGCATTGTCCTGACCTTCAGTTGATCCCGCCATTTTTTTCACGATTTCACCAATCGTGATCAATAGTATCCGGATCAATAACCATCGCACAGCTTCCACAACGTCCACAAAACCGAACAATAACAACCTCTCATCCTCCAGACTCCCCAACCATACCCGTCAAAAACCACCAACCCAACATTATCACTATCACCACCAAACCACAACCACCACTACCATTACAACAGCTAAAACTAAAGCGAAAAAGATCAATAGAGATCTAGACCAAAGCGGAGACCCCATTGACATACCTACCTACGTAATCCCTCCCCCCCCCCCGACCCTGCCTTCGTATGCTTCCGCTCGTAAATTCTAATCCGATTCCCGTGTCTCAAATCTCCACTCCCAGAGCGGAACTATTTATATCCCAGCACTGCACTGCGAGATGACTAGGTACAGGTATCTACTGCCTACCGGTATGTAGTCTAGTCTATTCTATACAAAGGTTCCATGGATCCTTCTCCTGTCAAACGATATCACAATTTTTGATGCTCAGAGATTTACCTTCTTGTCTGTTTGCCTTGCTAACCTATCTTGTGGCCCTTTCTGATCATGATAATGACGGAAGGGGTTAGGTTGGTTTGAGGAATGTGTCAAACTCGTGCAATCCAGGGCCTCTGCTGTAGGAATGTTCATTGAGTGTCTCTGATCAATTGCATGGGCTTGGGAATGAGGGGAAGGGGAGGGGGCCTCGCTGAGATGCCGAGGATCGAAAGGACTCGGTATATATGATCTACCATGCAGGATTCTGGAAGCTGGCGAGAAGTCCGCCCCTCCCCCTCCCCCACGAGTTGACGAACAGTGAGGGGATCTTACGTAGGCCCTAGGTGATGATCGAATACCTATACTTAGATCACTAGGTCGGCTTCGAGAGGGTTACCTCGATATCAGTAAGCAAACTATAAGACGTGGATGGTATAGACACGAGAATGGACTAGAAACAACTGCCGTCGAGATCCATTTCTTTACCAGATACAACAAGTAGCAAGACATGCATGAGAATTGAAGAATTTCCGAAGGGTTGGCTGGCTGCCTGGCCTTTTCTCATCCCGACTCGACTATACAAAGCTTTCTTTAGAAACCTCCCCCCACCTCCCTGTCCATCTCGAATTGGAATGCAAAACACACGTTGTGCCGGTTTCACCCCCTTTTCTCCTCTTACGTATCGTCTCATCTCAACCCCTCCCCAAATCAGGCATCATCTCGACCAATGGTCTAGGCAGAAATTGTGGCAAAATGAACATTGAAAGAAAATGAGAATTAGAACAAAACAAACGTCGTCAAGCGACGACTAAACGCTTGCGCAGTGTGCTATGAAGGGGGTATTAATATTGAGGACCAAGGTTATGACGGACTCAGAATGTCTCCAGCTCGTCCGCGCCGGCCTCCGCCTCAGGGATCTCGAATCCCTCCTGCTCTTATGTTAGCCCACCCTCTCCCTTGATAGAACGCGTGAGTGATAGAGTCAGTTCATACCTCCGTCGAGTATAAGATACCCTGGATGTGTTTCACCAACGAGTCCTCGTCCTTCTCCAACTCGGGGTCTTGCTCGATCGCGCTCTGCAGCAGCAACTCGATGTCCCGGAGCTTAGCAAAGTAGAAATCCCGCTCCTTCTCTAGCCCAGCGATGGCCTCCTTCTGGGTGTTGATCTCCTGCTGCAGGGCAGCGGTGTTGGCTGAGACGGCCGCGACGGCAGCGCGGGGGCGAGCAGCACCCACGGTCGGGGTGGTGCCACGGCGAGCGGCGCTGCCAGCAGCGCTGGAGCTAGTGCGAGAAGCCGGTCCGGACGGAGGAGCACCGGAGCCCTTGCGGCGACCGACCGCATCGTAGTCACCGCCAGGATAGTGTTGGTCCCAGTATCTCTTGGTCCACTGGAGGAATTCCAGGTTATCCTGCATACGGCATTTGGTGAGCTGCTCTACCGGAATGGGCTTGTCGACTTGGTGCTTTGCGAAGATGTCTAGAAGGAAACGGAGTAGATATTAACACGGTTGTCTCGACAATAGCCGGATATGAGTGAGTCGCATACTCTGAAGCACCTTGAAGTTCTGAAGGTAGGCATATTCGCTGTTGACGTTGAACTTTACACGAGACATGGGGACATCCACTATGGAAGACAAATCAGTCAGCTATGGAGAAAAGGGGTACGAGGTTGGGCTGCACTCACTGAATATCGAGTCAAAGATCTGACACAATGCGGCACTGGAAACTCAGGGCATCAGTATATCCCGATCTCATTCGACGGAAATCCTCCACCAGCATAATAGCCGCTTCTTTGCGAGGAGAACATACCCGGTACCGCACTGCTCAATCTTGGTCATGTTCAACTGCAGCAGGTTGTTAAGCCATGCCAGCAGCTCTTGTCTATCCGTTCATCCAATTATGTTAGCCTTGGTCGCTTTCGATCTCGACTGCTGATGCTGCCGTCGCGCATGTGAGATCCAAACAGAATGCTCGACGAACCTCGATTCGCCCATGGTGGGGTATTTTAGGTCGGGGCTTTGGGTTGAGAAGGGTGTGGAAGAACGGCAGAGGAATCGCTTGAATTGAAAGAGAGGTCGTAGGAAGTTGAAGAGCAGTCAACAACGAAGGCCTGTCACCAAATATGTTCAGACTTTTGTTTATTATGAAGAAAAACAAAGGCCAAGTAGAGCAGAGGGGGGAGTGTTTTGTTGCTGTCGCCAAAACCCACGGGACTGAGAGGCGCTAACCTGATTTGGTCCAATCTCAATCGCCGCCTCTCCGATCTTACTTGTCTCACTTAAGCCTTACAAATCAGGCAACAACGCCAAGTCTTTAGCCATGTAAATGAAAGTCCAGAGTCAATGTAGAATTAGGTGACTGATAGAATGGTCGACGTGCTCTATCGCTATTAATGTATATATCAAGAAGCATTCCAGGTAAAGAATCCAAGACACCCAGTATACTCCACCAAGCCAACAGCATGAACTTTTCCCCCCAAAAAAACCGACAACCAAAATTCACGGAGTGAGAACGTCTAGCGACTCTATCCAGTTCTTCACTCTTCTAATAGTTCTATGCCATCTAGACCGTATCCAAAATCCATTATAACGGCACGAGAGTCTTGACTGGTCGCAAGAATGCGCCGGTAATCGGACTTGACGCTGAGCATCCAGCTGGTCGTCCAGCCAGGTAAGTCAATTGACAGCTCACCAGACTGCGCATCAAAAATTTTGACACTCATGTCATAGCTGCCACTGACGATGCGCTGGTTCATGTTGTCCAGGTGCAGCGACCGGACGAGCCCCTCGTGACCCTTGAGCTCGCTCACCATTTCTCCAGTGTTTGCATCAAACTGGTAGATCACATGATCATTACCACCCGTCAAGATGGTTCGAGCATCATCACTGAATTCAACGCAGGCTAAGCCCCGATCTTTGCTGGGAAACTCCTTCACGCAGAGACCGGAGGTGATATTCCACAACTTGGCGATACCATCCCCACTGGCCGAAACTACCAAGTCACCACGGAGCTGAACGGCATTGACAGGGCCACGGTGACCAAGCAGTTTCTTGACCAGAGCACCAGTGTGACGATCCCAAACACAGATCGTGGTGTCCTTGGAGCATGAGACAATATACCGATCATCAAAACAAACATCAAGGACTCCAGCCCGATGTCCCTCCAGACGACGGATCGGCTTGTAGTCATTCTGAACATCCCACACAATGCAGGTAAAATCGGAAGAGCCAGTAACCATGATCTCGTCATCGAACTGCAGACAGAGGATTGAGGCGCTATGGTAGTCCGCACTCTGTTCCATTGGAGCTACAATGCCTGCAGAGCTAGTGGGTGGAGGACAGATAGTAAGAAAGGGCGGTTTGCCGGATGATTGCTGCGTTTGATTGTTGACGGGGCCAATGCCGGGAACATCACCAGGCGGAGGGCCGATGATCTTGCGGCATGGCCATGGGTAATGAGCATCCCAGACGCGAATTGTCCGATCGCGAGAGCCAGTGATAATCTTGTCCCTAGAATGGAGTCAGCAGGCAGGTATTTCCTTGACGGTCAAAGGAGCCATACTCATCAAATTGAGCACAGTAAACGCTATCCGTGTGGCCATGCAAGTAGATAGCAGCGGCTTTGCCCTCTTTCCAACGATGTTCCAAAGCGCGCCGCACAAGGAACATCCTTTTCCAGTCTTGGTCGGGACGGGTCTTGCCCAGACCTGCAGCTTGCCTCTTCTTAGTCGAAAGCCCACTGGGACGATGGTGTCTGTAGGCGTGACGGAACACATGTCGCCAGATATGCCGGGAGGAAGCCTGCTCACTCCAGGCGCGAGAGACTAGCTCTGTCTGCATCAGTGACTCTGGGTCGAGGTAGGAGAACACTTGTGACATAATCTCCGGAGGGAGATAAACCACGGGATCGATCCGCACAACCGCCAGAGCAAAGTCAGAAAGCTCGGAGCGGTCGCGCAAATCAATTCCAATGCCACTTTCCGAGTCCCTGGTTAATCTCGTCTCTGAAGACTTGACCCCGTCGCGCAGCGCTCGGGCCAGTTCATTTTGAGCGGCGGCCGCGGCACGAGCAGCTGCCCCGGCATAAATGTCATCCGGGAAGACTGGAGGAGCCAGGCCATTACCGGGGACGGGACCAGGGACCGATGAACGGCGATCGACGTTGGCCTCGTTGCACCAGGAGTTCCTGGTGTAATCCTCACTTGGATTGGTCGAGTGTCTCGTGGATTTATTGCGGATTGTCACAGAAAGACGACGCCCCAAAGCGCGCAACCCATCCACGGGATGCCGCAGACTGGAGAAGCTCTTCGCTCCGCGGCGCCTTGGGGCGGGTTCAGGAAACTGGTTTGTGTCTTCCAGAACCTGCTCTCCTATGTGATGTTCCTCCAACGCCTGCCCATCGTACCCATCATCGTCCGAGTCGACAACGGGAAGGCCATGCCAGAGCTCGTGATCTGGTCCGATGGTCTGAACCGTCGATACGGTGGACGTCCGAGGTCGAGTGCGGAAAGAAAGCGAGGTACGACGGCGGGAATTGCCCGCGTTGTTGTCTCTTGGTGTCATTGTGTCGAATCTGTGCAAGTTTGTTGGGAGGACGACCGTTCAGAGGAACAGAAGATAGTCACGCGGGAACGATCATCCGTGAGGTATAGCAGACAGATATAACCACACTATCGGGGATAAAACGCAAGGGAGGCTGTGCTGTATCAGGTAGCGCCGACGAGCTGAGGTAATAGAGGACCCGAAGCTGAAAAAGGCGTAGGCAAGGGCGATGATTGAACGAGGGACAAGACTGATGAAGACGCCCTATAAGCCGCACGAACCACCAGAATAAAACCAAAAAAAAGGAAGGGGAGGGAGGAAACGAAGGAGGTAGAGATGGTGATAGGTAGGAGGAGGTTGAGACAGAGAAAAAGAGAGAGGGAGGGCGAGAAGAATCAGAAAAATATGAGACAGAACAGAAGTGATAAGAAAAAAGATTAATCACAGAAGAATCGACACAATAAGAAAGAGACGAGAATGAAATAAAAAAAGATAAGAAAAAGAAGAGCAAAAAAAAAAACAAAAATGAGGATCAGGGGAAAGATGATTGATGAATGACCGGGATGAATGACAATACTCCCGCGATGAATAATGAATGGGCAGAAAACAGGGTGTCAGCGCCCTTGGGGGGAGGGGCGGTGAGACGCCACTTTGTGGATTTGCCTTCATCCGATTGGAAGTGGCGGACTGACACACTGGGTCAACAATGAATTTTTCTGTTCTTCCATCCCATGGTTCCCCATGGTTGTTCTTCTCTCTTTCCCCCCTGGTTAAGGCTGACTGTATCTACTCGGACTCAATGGTTCGGTAATCACTCACTGCCCAGTGTACTGTACATCAGTAATGTGGGGTTTAGGAGGGGAGTGAGTTGGTTTGGCATCGACCTGGCTGCCTAATGGATGATTTGGCAAGAAGGTTGGGATCATGTCCCCAATCTCCTACTTACATGCAGGGTCTTGGTGCTTGTTGGATCGTTGGAGAATTGGCAAGAACAGACACCCATTCCCCTCGAGACGGATTGGTATGTTGGATGCAAATGGAGTGAAAATCCCAAGGTTAGTCTCCCGACCGCCCCCCCTTTTCCCCGATCGACTCCATCTCCTTCCCGCCCGCCCCCGTGGGGTTTGCCTCCGGTTGTGGTCTGGCCCACTGCCCCCAAGTTCAGTGGTTCTTTCACAATGCCCACTTGGCCCGACAATCGGCCATCTTGTGAAGTCGTTATCGCGCTGCAAACATGATCAGGCATTGATCGATTCGCTCGGGCTGCATCACTGTAGATAAGTATTCAAGTCAGTATGGCATTGGGTTGAACTGCTGCGTGAGTCGAAGACCAAGGCCACACACAACAGGTTGGGTACAATCCCTTAAACCTGAACATTAAGATGGCCATCTTTTTCGATTGGCGAGACTGCATGAAATTCCAGGCTATGGCTTGCAGACTCCTGTTCCTGGCTGGGTGTAACCCCCGGGTGGTCTGACTACGTAGCAGTTTTGGCTCTCTGTGTGCTCCGAATTTCGATAATATTTTGGTCTCTTCGCCTCGCTTCATGTGAAATCGGTTGCTGAATCATGCGTACTGATGCGCAGTGCACCATGATTTCTTCGTTCAAGCTGGGATTATCGCAACACAGGAAAGACAATAGTTCAGTCGGATGCTTCTGCCAGACAAGAAGCATATTGCCATCCAGAGCAATACCCATGCTCAATCATTTCATACCACGAAGTACATGTGTATGTATATACAATCGTGATTCGTGTAGGAGTCCACATATCCGCCCTGCTAGAAGTCATATAATAGTTCCAGCATCAATATATGTGGTCAATGCAGGTCCTATTGACAGCCGCATGGCGTGAGATGGGGGCTGATAAGAGCCTTATTAATGCTCAGAGGGATTTATCTGCTTAGGTCAGCATCAACATAAATCAGGAATAACATGACTGGTGCCAGTAGCATTAATTCACCTTGGTATGTATTATGGTCTCCCACTTCCACTTCTCTCACCCTCAACGACTTTCCCACTCGGAGAAAACCCTCCACCAATCAGACCCCACCCGACAGTCATTGGCGTGGGGGTGCCTCCCTCTCGGAATTCGGATAGAAGTCCGGCTCGGGTTAATTCATCCCACTTCACCTTACCCCTCCTCTGCTGCGAAACTGCGAATATTGCGAAGCGCTAGGAATTGAAAAATCGGAAGAGAGAATCAAAGTTTCATTTTCATCATATATACAAAAGGTCTAGAGAAGGGGGAGGGGGAAGAAGACAAAATCTAGGCAACATCCGGCAGCGTCTTTTCCACCTCAATCGCATCCTTAATGCCCTCTGCTACAGCCTGGACCTGCTCTTCACTGAGACGAGCCAAGGGCTTGCGGGGGAAGCCACCATAGCCGTAATAGCTCTGGATAGCGCTCTTGGTGCCGGGGATAGCGGCCTTGGTGAGCACCCAGTCGGCCTTGCTCAAAAGCGCCTGTGCCTCGATAGCTTCCGTGAAGCGGCCTTCGCTCCAGAGGGTGAAGATCTGCACGCACAGCTTGGGGATGACATTGGCCCCACCGGCCAGGATGGCGGAGCCACCGGAGGCGAGGGTCTGCAGCGCAAAATCAGCGATACCGCCGAAGGCGACGTAGGGGTGGTTGGCTTCGGTTTTGGTGTTGGGGAACTTCCGAGCGGCCGGGTTCAAGGGAGAGGGAGGGGTGATGGCGTGCAGGGCCGAGGCGACGCGGGTAAGCTTGCCGGTGTTGGCGCAAGTGAACTTGGTGCCGATGATGTTGGGGTGCTGGGAGATGCGGATGATCAGGTCGGAGTCCATGTCAATACCGGCCACGGCACCGGGGTAGTTGTAGAGAATGAGCGGGATGGGCGACTCGTCGGCCACGGCGGTGAAGTATTCGTAAATGGTCTGGTCATTGCCCACGGCGTAGCGGTAGTAGCTGGGGGGAACAATGAGGGCGTATTCGGCTCCGGCGTCCGCGGACTCCTTGCACAGGGCAATGGTACCCCGGATGCTCTGCTCGCTGGCACCCGCGATAACGGGGACGTTGGAGAATCCAGCCTCGACCAGGGCCGAGCGGGTCTCGCTAATGACGGTCTTCTTCTCGGCCAGGGTCAAGTGCACGGCTTCACCGTTGGAGCCCATGCAGACGAGACCAACGAGACCGGCCTTGGCGAGGCGAACGGCGTGACGACGGATGGTGGGAACATCGAGGTCTTCGGTGTCTGGGTTGAAGAAGGTCATAGTAGGAGCGTAAACTCCGGGGCGGAGGGGAGTGCGGGACATTCTGCGCTTCAGTGTTAGGTAGAGAAAACTCGCCTTGACTAAGGACAAACTTACTTGACAGTTGTGTGAGAGGTAAAATGCTTGAATTGAAGATAGAAAAAGAAGGAGTGCAAGGATAAAAAGTGCGTAGACAGACCGACAGACAGACAGCCTTGAGGGAGATTCTTATAACCCCTCATGTTTACCCCGCGTGTATTGACATGGTAACCGGCCCGTAATCCGTCAACCCCACGGCCGGCGCGGAGCCCATTTCTCCGCCAATCAACAAGTGCCGGCATTAGACTTGCCTCTTTTGGGCGGTTTTGAGCAGACTCGCTTCAAACGCCGATGCAGGCTGCATACACTCAACCTCGATGTCATTGACAGACGTATTACCTGCGCAGCAAGTCTTACAAGTTATGGTCTGTCTAGAACACTCAAATTAAGCCCAGCCATCACGGGTATCTTCTTTCTTCCGCCCAGAACATCATTGATTGATGCAATTGTCCGTACCAGAGATCCCTCCCTCCCTCCTTCTTTCCTCCACGTCGGCTATTGAACCCCGCAGGTCTCCAGTCCAGTGGATAAATCCTCCTGACACCCACTTCTTTTACTGAATTCTTGTTTCTTTTCTTTTGCTCGTTTTTCTCGATCACATTCCTCACCTCTTCCTCCACTTCCTCCCCCCTTCACACTTCACAAAAATGGCTCCTCCCGCTGTGTTGATGGTAAGGCTTCCCCCTCCTCCCTCCCACCGAATGCCCACCAGGAATCCTAACACTGCATACCAGGTAGGAACGGGCGAGTACACCACCGGCTACGTCGGTGGTGCTGCCTCGACCTCTGACAAGAAAGTCGGTGTCGTGGGTCTGACGCTGTTCGACCTGCGTCGTCGGGGCAAAGTGGGCGATTTGAGCATGGTTGGAGTATCCGGCTCCAAGTTCCCCGGCATCCGTACGTTGCTCTCTCTTCCACACTCTCAAACAAACCCCGATTGAAAACAATTTACTGAACCGCAAAACCAAAAAAAATAAAGGCGACCACCTCCACCGCAACATCTCGCAAGTCTACAACAACCTGGACACCAGCTTCACCTCGTTCCCGGCGGACCACACGACGGACCCGGAAGCGTACAAGGCGGCCATCGACGCGCTGCCGGCGGGGTCGGCGATCACGATCTTCACGCCGGACCCGACGCACTACCCGATCGCGCTGTACGCGATCCAGCGGCAGATCCACGTGCTGATCACGAAGCCGGCGACGCAGCTGCTGCGCGACCACCTGGACCTGCTGGCGGAGTCGCGCAAGCACGGGGTGCTGGTGTTCATCGAGCACCACAAGCGGTTCGATCCGGCGTACAGCGACGCGCGGGCCAAGGCGGCGCGCCTGGGCGACTTCAACTACTTCTATAGCTACATGAGCCAGCCCAAGTCGCAGCTGGAGACCTTCAAGGCCTGGGCCGGCAAGGACTCCGACATCTCCTACTACCTCAACTCCCACCACATCGACATCAACGAGAGCATGGTCCCGGACTACCAGCCCGTCAAGGTCACCGCCAGCGCCTCCACCGGCACCGCCACCGAGCTGGGCTGCGTCAACCAGACCGAGGACACCATCACCCTGCTGGTCGAGTGGCGCAAGAAGGACGGCAGCGGCCGCTTGGCCACCGGCGTGTATACCGCCAGCTGGACGGCGCCGCAGAAGGCCGGCGTCCACTCGAATCAGTACTTCCACTGTATGTGCTCCCTTCCTTCGGTAATACTCATGTGGTGAGAGAGAGAGCTTGCTAACATGGACCATCAGACATGGGCTCCAAGGGTGAAGTCCGCGTGAACCAAGCCAAGCGTGGCTACGACGTCACCGAAGATGAGCAGGGATTGATCTGGGTGAACCCGTAAGTTTGCCTCCTCTTCTTTTTCCCAGAGATTTATAACCTAACGAAAATCAAAATCCAGCTTCTACATGAAGTACGCCCCGGACGAAGAGGGCAACTTCGGCGGCCAGACCGGCTACGGATACATCAGCTTCGAGAAGTTTATCGATGCTGTCACCGCCCTTAACGAGGGTCGCGTCACTCTAGACCAGTTGGACGCCAGACCTCTGCCCACGCTGCAGAACACCATTGCCACGACGGCGATCCTGCACGCCGGTCGCGTCTCCTTGGATGAGAAGCGGTCGGTCGAGATCGTCAGTGCCGACGGCCAGTGGGAGTTGAAGTAAAATATATAAACCCAATTTTCCTCTGACGATGACGATGATGAATGCAGACCAGTGTATATAGTGCGCATGTTTCTGTTAACGTATGTAAACATTTTACTCAAGCACCTAGAGATTCATAAGCATCCCAAAGCTTTGTAGCGTGTAAGAACAAAAGGGGAAATAGTTCTGTGGTAAATATCCCTACCTCTCTCTCGTAGAATAAAAAAAAAAAAAAACAAATAGGAAAGATGGGGGGATGAAATGAAGAGAGAGAGAAAGAGAATTCTGGACTACCGAACGACCTAAAGATCGATCTGTCATGGTATCACCAATTTTGTTTGAAACAAAGAGAATCAAAACTCCCTCAAACTCCCTTCCAAATCAATCACTTTCGCCACGCTGCGAATCACAGAAGGACGAACAAATGAACCTTCGAAATTAAAACAACCACCCCCAAATAAGGAAGCCGAGATGATAAATATAAGTCTTCGAACGGGACAGGAAGAAGGGAACGAAAATTTGGCAGATCGTGGTCTCGTAGCAGGTCGCCGCCACTATTTCAAGGGATGTAAAGCCTTTTCCAGGGGTGGACGGACTGGGGGTGGGGGAGGTCGAAAAGAAGTAGGGAAGAAAAAGAAAATGGAGTGGATCAAAATCAAAACGATCCATCACCGCCGAGGGTTGTTCTTCACAATCCCATCCACTCCCTTGTTGAACCTCACTCGACAATCTGGGCAATACCATTTCGCGGTTCGACTGGGCACTTCCGACAGACCCACGCAGTCCAGGTGGAACCATTCGCGGTCGCACTGGTTTGTTGTTAGATTTGGATAGAGATGGGAAGGTATGGGGAAAAAGAGAAAAGCTTACATCCGGGTTCTCACAGCAAATCATGGTCCCGAAACTCACATCTCCGCAGATACAGTATCGCGGCTCGTTAGGATCGATCTCCTCCAGGACACCGTCCTCGTCAATGCGAATGTCGTCGCGGTTCAGAAGGTCCCCCTCAAGCAGGTTGATGCGCTTTTTGCCAGGCTTGGCCTTGCGTCGGCCGTAGCTGACTGCGGCCCCGCCATCTTGGCCTGAAGATACGGGACCGGGCGCAGGGCGCTTCCGTTTGCGATGGGGCGCGCTGACACTTGTGGCACGGGCCGTCTCCGGAACAGGCGTGCGTCGCGCAGGCGTGGCGCTCTTCCGGCGGAGCTCGCGGCCGGTTGTTGGCAGGGTGTTCGCGTTGCTGGTCGGTTCCGCTGACAGGGCTGCACCTCGGCGGGACGGAGGTCGAGTGACCGGGGGTGTGGGCGTGCCAGTGGCTGGTGCTTTGCCGGTAGTAGTTGAAGCTGGAGGGGGGAGAGATCGTTTATTGCTGACTGGGGAGGACAAGACTGGCTGCCTCTGCGCATCGGCTGATTCAGCCGCAGCAGCATCTGGGCCGGTCGGTGGAGCCGGGTTTGGCATGGTTGCGTTGCTCTCGGCAGGAGTGAAGGATCCCTTGCTGGTCCGACGGCGTTTGCTGGCGCTGCGCAACGAGGTTCGTGTCTCTACCTCGGTAGGAGTGGTGGATTCAGCGGGCGCAGCTGGAGCCTCAGAAGTCTCTGGAGCCTTTACAGCTTCTAGAATCACTGGAGCTTCTACAACCACTGCAGCCTCTGCAGCTTCTGCGGCCTCTGGGGCCTCTGTAGTCTCTGGAGCTTCTGTAGCCTCTGGAGCTTCTGTGGCCTCCGGAGCAACTGGGGTTATAGAATCTGCCGGAGCAGCCGCTGCCACAGGTGGAGCAGTGAGAGAAGCTGTGGGTGGGGACGCCACAGGAGTTGGAGAAGTAACAGTAACGGGAGCAGGAGGAATAACAGTATCAGGAGCTGCAGGAGCTGCAGGGGTCGCTTCTGGCGGTGTTACTTCGTCCGCCTTGCGTTTCTTTGCGGTAGAACGACTCGGTTTGCTTGCAGCCGGTGACGCTTCTGGAGCGGAAGGTCCTTTGAGTGTTAAGGTAGGCTGATCAGGGCTTTTTGCTGTTGTGTGGTCACCTGCAGCCGCGGCCGCAGCGGCTGCAGCAGCGGCTGCCGCTGCCTGCTCACGCGCCTGGTTCTCCCGCTTAAGCTTCTTAGCCTCGTTCAGCTTCATACCTCTATTGCTTAGCTTAGTCTCAAACGGTGCCTCAATGTCAACAGGTGCTTCACCGCGCTTGCTTAGCTTTCCAGGGATGTACGTGTTCATAATGTCGTCGCAGTCAAGGAACTCAGTCCCGGACGCACCAGCTTCTGCCTTGGCCTTTCGGTAAGCCTCCCAACCGCGACCACGGAGCGCCAACTCGCGATGGATCATGACTTCACTCGGCTGCCACACCGCGTTCTTTTTCATCTTCTTGCGAAGCTTGGTCATCTCCCACTCAGTCAGCCGCAACCACGGCATGTCTTCACTGCCAGGTTTGGCATCTTCAGGGGGTGGTTTGAGCATGGCAAGCGCACCGCTGATCGACATGGAAGGCCCACTGGTACCTGGAACCCCAGGAACCAGCCCAGACCCACGTGAACGTCGAGCGGCTTTCTTCTCTTTGACAGGTGAAGTGGTGGTTGTGGGGGTTGATGAGTCGACAGAAGCAACGGGAGGAGCAGCGGCAGGCTTCGGCTGAGAATCGGAGGATGCTGTCGGAGCGTTCGCCTCGTCATCAGAATGTTCCGTGCTGGCGATGGGAGAATCGGGGTTAAAGTCGGTCAAATGTTCGGCGGCGATGAGCGATCGACGGGTGCGCGACTTGGGCTGCGCAACTGCGCGACTACCTTCCCGGCTGTCGAGGCGCAAGGTAATGCGCGTAGTCGGCGGCGCAGGAGCCACAGCATTGTCATCAACCTTCTTGACCGATCGGCCGCGCTTGGTGGTTGTAAGTGTCTGGACAGAAGGAGCGGGGGGTGGTGTGGGTTCGCGCGATGCGGGTTTGGGGAGAGCCTCTAGCTTGCGTTTGATGCAATCAAGGCGACTGTAGTGACGGTCAATGACCTCGTATAGGCGACAAGCTTCAGCGTAGGCGGACTCGCGCGCGTTGATGGCGCGATCGAGCTGGGCGGAGATGTCCTTGCGCAGGGCGCGCGCATCGGGACGCCGATCAGAAGGGAGGTCAGGAAGGCGGCCATATGTTTTGGTTAACTCGTGGACGCCCTGGGTAGCGTCCAGGTAGCGCTCATCGAGGCCGCGGATGAGAGTGAGGGAACGGAGGAGGTCGGCGGGCAGGTATTCGGTGTAGTCAATGTAGTCAGTGACAGTGGCTTGGGCGTCGGGGTCAAAAGGCCCATCCAGAATGAGGCCCCCAGGGTCGTGGTAGTCCGCCATACCATCCAACAAGTAAACAGAGAGAGTGTAGGAGTGGGAAGGCGAGAGGGAGGGGGCAAAAGAAGGCGCGTCGAAGGAACGGGCGGACAGATGGTCAGTGGTGGACGGACGGCACCCTGGGCGAGGGTGCGGCCATGAAGAGGGACTGGTCCGCACTTTTACATGGATGGGGAGAGCTTGCCAGACAGAAGAGTCTGCACAAGCTACCAGCTGCAAATTGAAGAAAGAATGGCAAATAATCGATCGGTTGAGCTGTGCAATTGTCTTGTTATTGTTGAGTGAAGCCGAAGTGGAAGTGGAAGGAGATAAACAATGATTGGCTGGATAGAGAAATGACTCAGCATGGAGAGGGGAGAAAGATTGATCCGACAGCTGTCAGCTGTGGAGAGGAGAGATGTTGATATTCTGCTATGTTGTTGGTTAGTATATGGATGCAGAATGATTCATCATGTAAATTCACCTGGACTGACTAAAGCCTTTACCAGTATGTACCTAGGTAGAGCATAGTGGTGGTAACAACATATGATTTTTAATTACTGGCCAAATATCGATACTATCCTGAAGTATATAAGCTGTACGCCTTGACAGACACAAACACAAATTTGAACACTCCCAATACAACCAGCAATCTTTGCACAGATCGCAATACTTGCTTTACAGGCGTAGTGATGAACCTGTCTAGATAAGTATTTGCTACACTCTCTATAGTGAATGTAGCACAAATCAACAGAACCGGAAAAAATGCAAAAAATGAAGTGAAGGCTACTACCTAGTACGTCCCTACAGTGAATTGATCGATACTAGTACCTCCTTGCTACAATGTTGCACAACTACAACCCCACCGTTTGTTCCTCAGACAAACGACGTGTTTTGCCCCTCCTGCTCATCTCTTCCCTTGTCTTCTTCCCACCACCTCTTTATTCTCATTTGCGTTGCCATCAACTCTCTCCCCTACTCAATCACGTTGTCAAAAGTCAAAAACCACCAAGATGACACCAGTCCAGCGACTCAACTGCCTGTTTGATGGGGAGGACGAGCTGTTGAAGATGGACACTCGTCTCAACCGTAAGTTGACTGGTTTGGAAGTCCTACCGGGGATGCGTGTTAACACAATTGGCTTGAACCATTGATTACTCTATTTCGCATAGTAAGAGATATGATGGACTAACAATTCTTACTCCTCGTATACCAGTAGAAAGAGTGCCCGAAGAGCCCACTTTCAAAGGACACTCCGAAGGAACAAAGGTAGAGAATACCAAGACCGAGGAATACCAACCCGAAGAAGCCCAGTCTAAGGAGGTCAAGCTCGAAGGAACAGAACCAGAGAACACCAAGCCAGAGAGTATCCAGCTCGGGGATCTCAAACATGATGACGAGCTCAAGGACGATCGTTCTGAGGGTCTTGAATCCCAGGAGGTCAGTTCCCAGAAACACCTACCCACCAAGAGCGACCTCGAAGGACCGGAACTCGAGGAACTTGTACTTGGCGAACTGCAGCATGTCAGCATAAGACCAGCGCGAGCCAAGCGCGCAGTGCTCAAGTCCGAACTGTTGGATTCTGAAGAAAGCACGGCGACCGATGAGTCCTTGCCTGAAGACCCTAGCGACAAGACTTTCACTCCCATTATCGCCCTCTCACGGTACCCATACAAGCTCATCAAAGACGACAGCCTATGCCAGCAGATAGCCAGCCGGTTCTTCGACAAGAATCAATTCTGGGCCCGATCTTGGGACATGTATGCTCATTCCTCTCCCAGCAAAGCATTGTCATTATCACTAATGTCTTCTTATGCTTGCCAGTTACTACCACTATACGCCCTCCAGCCTGGGCTGTCGATGCATTCTACTCACCCCAGCCAGACACGCCCGCCGCCTCCTCGGCGAGATTAACCGCACCTTTAAGTGCACCCTCCAACTCCCGTCGGAGCGCGACATGGGCCTAGTCCTCTCCTTCAACAATGATGCATACCCGCAGCCGAAGTTCCTGGGAACCAGCACCAACCGTGAGGCCAAGGACCGCCTGCAAGCCCGTGTGCCACCCCCCTCCGAGCGCTACCTCGACCCCTGGAAAGACCTGGGCGACGAGCACAGGGAGCTAGCCGTTGCCTACGAGGCGATGCTGGAAGCCGCCTGCGACGCCATGAAGAGCAAGCGAAAGACCAACGCGGCCCAGAAGCAGCAGCAACGCATGGAGCTCGAGCACCGGCGCAAGGAGTCGCTGCTCCGCGCGCAACAGTACTTGGGGATGCGGCCCGCGGGCACCATCAACGAATCCCTGAAATACGCCCCATTCAACATGGACGCCGTGGCCCCGTTCGCGTTCTGGAAGGATCCTATCTTCGTCAGTGTGGATGTGGAATGGAACGAGCGCTGCAGTTCTCAGATCACCGAGGTTGGCCTCTCGGTGCTGGATATGCGCAAGCTGCACGGCGTGCGGCCCTCTTCGATGGATGGGGTCATTTGGCGCAGGGCCATCCGGTCCCGTCACTTGCGCGTGCGCGAGTACAGTCATCTTGTCAACAATGAGTTCGTGAGGGGCTGCCCGGGGGACTTTCGGTTCGGGACCAGTGAGTTCGTGGGGCTGGAAAAACTGAAGGGGGTCGTGCAGGAGGCGTTCCAGCAGGTGGCTGTCGCCGAGAAGAAAGAGGATGAATCGGAAGATCGTCATGTGGTGCTTGTTGGCCACAGTCTCGCCGCTGATTTGGAACACCTACGTAAAATTGGGGTGACACTAGAGATGGTGAATGATCGCTTGGATACTGCCGGACTTGATTGCGCTATGCATGCCGATCCGCAGCAGCAGCAGCAGCCGATGCAACCCCGATCCTTGGGAACGGTGATGACAGAGCTGGGCTTGGAGCCGTGGCATCTTCACAATGCGGGTAACGATGCGCATTATGCGCTTGAGGCGTTGGTGGCTAGTATCCTGGGATACAAGGCTGGCAATTGAGTTCATGCCCTTCTGACAGATGTGATATCTCAGAAGATCGACGGCCACGACCTGACATGTATTTTAACTCGGACTAGTTAGTTTTAAACTAGTGAGACAGATGACTCGTGACAATGAAACATGCAGCAATGCTTGTCACACGGTAGGACACAGGAATCTGCCAGGACCCGGATTCAGTCGTAGCCTAAGCGTTACAGTCCATATACTTTCCCAACCCTAACCGAACCTTAACTTATCATATTTCCCCCACCCATTCATCATCCCACCTGATAAACCACGAACACCACCAACCATCCCTCTCTTTCTTTCAACACACAACCACCACCACTAGCCCATCTCAACCCCCCCCCTTTTAACAAACCCTCAAACACATACCCCTCAAAAAAATGACCCTAACAACCACCCTCCTCACCCTCCCCCTCCCGCCCCCCATCACCACCAGTTTCACAACCGCCACCTCCACCACCGCCCACCCATTCCTCTCCGCCGCCGCAGCCGGCACGCTCCCCAAACCCCGCCTCGCGGCCTGGCTGGCCCAGGACCGCCTCTACATCCACGCCTACATCCGCTTCATCGGGGCGCTGCTCGCCAAGCTTAACCTCCCACTGCCGGTGTCCCAGCCTCACGCAAACCAAACCACCACCGACCAAAACGAAACCAAAACCCTCGAATCCCAAACCCTGCACACCCTCACGGCAGCCCTGAACAACATCGTCCGCGAACTCGACTTCTTCGTCGCCGTCGCCGACGAATACGCCCTCGATCTGAACACGCCGTTTCAGGCCCCCCAATCCGAACCCGGGGAAGCAGCAGCACCAGCAGCAGCACCAGCAGCACCAGCAGTAGGCACCTTCACCGCCTCCCCCATAACAACCGCGTATACGGATCTCTTTATCTCGGCGGGATCGGCAGGGACGTCCTTGCTGGAGGGGTTGGTCGTGCTCTGGGCAACGGAGGTGTGTTATCTGACCGTCTGGCGGAATGTGCGGGAGGCGATGCCGCAGGAAAAGAACGGGGGGGATGCGGATGGGGGTGCGTTGCGCGAGAAGTTGATTCCCAATTGGACGTGTGCCGAGTTTGAGGAGTTTGTGGAGGGGATTACGCGCCTCGTCAACGCGGTGGCGGAGCGTGAGGTGCAGCAGAGTTCGGCGGGCCCGGAGAAGGCGTGGGAGGAGGTGGTCGAGCGGTGTGCGCGGTGGTGGAGGCAGGTGGTTTGGTTGGAGGGGCAGTTTTGGCCGGAGATTTAGATTCGAGGACGGGGTTGTTCTCGGGGGCTTGGTGATGTATGTGTACAGTAGCTTCTAGAGGGATGTATGTATGTATGTATGTATGTGATGGACAGGGTCGACATGTAAATAGGTATGAGCAGATATGAATGAGCATCAAAAGCAATTGGAGTATATATACATGTACAGTATACAACCTTAGTGGCTAACAAGACACAAAAAGGACGACATCAAATCATTAGCAATATCTACAATTACATCAATACATACAGCCATGGTCCCATAATCCCTCCTGATCTTCGTCTTAGATGCCTTTCTGGCAAATGAATAACAAAAGCGAATCAAACAAGCCATTCCTCCTCACGACGTCGCTGCACTTGTACGCGCCGCATTGCTCAGCTGGCGATGATATGATCCGATCGTTTGGAAGCCTCTGCAAGCTGCGGTTAGTTTCTGCCATTGAACCTATGACGATAAAACAGATTGCCTACCTCGCCAAGTCAAACCCGCTCTCGTCCTCCTCCTCTTCTTCCGCTCCAGGGGCAGGACGACGACCACCCTGTGGCTCAGGCTCTCGCCGTGGTGGCGGCAACACACGACCGGTAGCCATACCTGTTGTTCCTGGTTTACTAGGACTTGCAAGATTGGGAGGTGGCGGACTGCTGCTCGGGATACTGCCTAGGACATCCCCGGGGTCTCCCTTGAGCGGACTCATGTCAGGTACCGGTCGCGCCGGCGTGCTGCCAATATCCGCAAACTTCCAGAACTGCGCCGGTGAGCTCATTGGCATGAACTTGGATGGTATTTGCGCCGTGCTCGGAGGGGGCAGGCGCGGCTGTTGCCGCTGTGGGGCGGGTGTAATCATTGACGATGGACCGTCATCATAGTACGACGATGACAGTACTGGAGGTGATCCCACGGCCGCGTCCGACAACCCATATGTTCGACTGAGACTGGCCCCATTGCTACCCGCGTTCTTCGTCGCCGACCGGGTCGGGAGCGGCGAAGGCTCTTCATAGTCACGTGTGTTGGGTGGGCGTAAATTGTGCTCCGCTGCTCCATTGCGGCTGGCACGAGATCCTCGTTCGGGAGTGTACGCCTCGACTGGGGCCACTGGGAATGAACTGAAACCGGGGGACGATACTGGTGGAGACTTTTTGCTGTTGAATACGGCCTCCATGCCGTTGGTGGAGCCCCGGCGATCGGGTACTTTGGTTGCAGGTGATGATGGAGCCGACGATTGCGTGCCCTTCCGCAGCTGCTTCTTCCAATACTCCTCGCGGTGCTCGGGTGCAATCTGCCACTTCATTCCCTTGCCCGGCTCGTCTGTGCGTCGCGGCACCTTCTGGAATGCCTTGTTCAGCGATAGATTATGACGGATCGAGTTCTGGAACCCGTTAGCACTGTAAATACCTCCATTCTGAAGTGAACACTCACCTGCCAACCGCTCTGAGAATGCCGATAGAAAGCGTACTTGTCCATGATCCAGTTGTAGATATTGTTAAGCGTAAGCTTCTCCTCCTCACTGGAGAAGATGGCCTGGGCGATCAGATTCGCGTAGCTGTACGGCGGCTTGAGGTCCTTGGCCGAGTCTTTGCTATAATCAATCTCTTCCGTACTCTCCATCATCATACCGCGGTTATACAAAGGGGACTGCTTGGCAGTACGGGCCCCCACTGTGTCGGGCGACCGTGGAGGAGGGGTCACTTGGCGCTTGAGGAATTGCGGTGCGGGTGCCAATGATGGCGGAGCGGGTGCGGTCGTCCCAGCGGTGTTGGTCGATGAGTGAGATGCATGAGGATGGGCGTGTTGACTGGCGTCCCAGGCAGCAGGCTCTTCCTCGCCGTTCGCCAGTCGCTGCGCTCGATCAACGAAGCTGGGGTGGATGGTCGCCTTGTCGCCCGGGGTGACGAACATCATCTGGGTGTTGGCGATCTCGATAATATCGCCGCAAGAGAGAACGGCGTCGGTTCCGCGCTTGAGGATGACGCTGTTGAGGCGCACCCCGTTGCGACCGTTGACACGGATGTGCCATGAGCCCGTGTCCTCACCATCATAGAAAATCTCCGCGTGCAAGCGCGAGACGAACTTGCTGGGGCCGAGATCGACATTCACCTCCGGAAGAGCGCGCGCAGCAATCGTGACCGGACTCGACTGCTCATCTAGCTTCTGCTCGCGGTCGGGTTCGCGACCGATGTTGACATGGAGGGTCTTTACATAGTAAGTCCAATTGCGACCGGCAATTTTGGCGTAGGCGCGAATGCTCTGCTCTGCCTCCGTCTTCGTATTGGAATAGTCGCGAAGGACTCGAACCTCTTCGCGTGCAGCCTCGAGGTATGAGATTACCAGGTCAACGAGGTCTTGATTCTCCGACAGGTCCTGGTCATCGTCGGCTTCGTCGGCGGACTCGGGCTTGATCGGGCGCGTTTGTGGGGATACTCGAGAATGTTCGACCTGACAGCAACAGTAGACAGTTAATCGACGGTTCTTGTCAAGACGTTGATTGTTGTTCAGCGAAGCACTCACCTTGCGCTTCTTATTTGACGGTCGCGTCGGCGATGAATCCGGGGCCTCTGCGTCGGATGTCTCTTGTAACTGAATCTCCTTGCGCCGCGCGCGGCGGCGGTTCGATAGAGGCATGGTGCAAAAACAGACGGAGCGATGGAAAGCGGCGCAGGCAATCGGTTGTGGTGGTTGTTGTTGTTGTTGCTGTTGGTGGTGGTGGAGGGGCTCGGAGAAGTTATCTTGAGAAGCGTTGCGAAGCGAGATGAGTTGTTGTTATCGTCGGTGGTAGTGTAATCAGTTGTGGTCGTGGTGGAGAAGGGTCGCAAGTGGCCGGGGCAACAATACGAGATTAGGGAAGAGAAAATCGTAGACTTTGAAGAGTGAGAACACCCGTGACAAACAACCGAGAATGAGAACAGTAACGGAGTAGGACGAATGGAAACCGGGATGGCAGGTCCAGGGTTGTTGACCCAAGGGTACGGTTTGCCACCGCGCACGAACGAGACGCGATTTGACCGTGAGTCGTGACTAGTGAGAGAGAAGGGAAGAGTACCGAGTGAGACGGAACTGGAGGGGGGCTGCGAGAGAGTGGCCAGCCACCGCTTGGGGGGGGGAGTGGAAGTGGGAGGGAAGAGGAGGGGAGGTCGGGTTTGCGCCAAGCACGTTCAATAGGGCTGGGGTGGTGGTGGGAGAGGGAGAAGAAAGGAAGAGATGATAAATCAAAGAAAGGGAGGAGGAGGGAGAGAGGAACAAAAGGTAAGAAGGGAGGAAAGGATTGAGACAAGCAGATTGTATGTGGAAGTAAGTGGTGAAGTGAAGAAGTAGTAGAAGCAGCAGCCAGCAGTAGAAAGTAGTGGTGGTAGTAGTAGTAGTAGTGATGATGATGATGATGATGATGACGCTGCGAATGAATTAGCCACAAGGGAATAGGATGGATGAGATGGGAAAGAAACGCTCCCGAGTCAATCCAATTCTAAGCCCGTCAGTCAATCAATCAATCGATCATAAATCAAACAGTCAAGTCAGTCAGTCAGTCAGTCAGTCAATCAACCAGTCAGTCATGTGGGACGACTGCAACTGAAGGGAATGAAGGGGGTTGAACTTGAAAGGTGCCGTCACTGCCAGATTGAGTAGTTTAGTTGCAATCACTAGTAAAAATCCTCGGGATTGCTTGTTCTTCCACCAAACACAACTGCAATTGTACTTGCAATGCGAAGATAAGTAAATAGTCAATAAATCTTCCTCCCATTCACCTTTTCTGTCTTTCTCACTCTTCGCTCTCTTCCTTCCTTTTTTCCTTTCTTCCTTTCTCTTCTTAACTTTCTTCCCCCCCTTGGTTCCTTCCCCCGGATCCTATTATATACGGTCTAAACAATTTTACTACATCCAAATACGACGCCGTAAACAGACAGTGGATCCCCCCCCAAACCCAACAAGCAAGCAGACAAAGCAAGCAAAGCAACATCACAAACAGACCATGTTTGATCAAGATGGCCCGCTGTTGACCCTTTGCCGGATGCAGTTTCTGTCCTTGAACCCCTCTCAATTCTTGCAATTCTTGAAAAGAGCAATCCGTCAACCAGGCAGGGTGCTCTGTGGTTATCCATGATGAAACCCACCCAAGTTCTATAAGCTTCCTTTCCCCAAGGTCTACGAGGAGGGCGGACCAGAGTCCGCGAGGCGGAGTTGATCGGATGCGCGGGCGGGTTGGAGGGTTGGACCATCCACCAGCATCGTCATCATCAACAATAACATCATCATCATCATCATCATCATCATCATCATCACCACTATCATCATCTCCTCACTCTCTGACGGCTCTTGCTTCTACGTACACACGACTTAACTTGCTGCTACTCCCCTCTCCCCTTTGGTAGAGCCTCTGCTGGTCTCGACCATCCCCGGATTAGGCAAAGGCCAGTAGTTTACCCTTCAGACTGGTTGCGTCATGGTGTCCGCGTGCAGCTCGTGTGGAATGCGGATCCCCTCTTCAGGCTCCTCCGACAGGTAACATCTTCGTTGCAATCTCTCGCCCTGGATTCTCCTTCCCACTCTTCCTTCCCCTTCCTCCGGATCAAGAGGAAAAGACGACGCTATACAATAATAGGACAACCACTGCGGAAGTCAACAACAAAAACAACATGGTTTCGATCGCATTACTGATCAATAACCGAGTCCATGGATTTCTCCCAAGTAAATACAGGTTCATCATATACACAAATAATACTTCGACTCACCAGGACCGCCTGCCTATCCTACCGAGGCCAATCCGGTTCTCCGACGCATTGGGAATAGCAAACAAGCAGAATCAAACCTAACCCGCAATCGCCCAGAACAAGTCGTTCGTAGCATAGCCGTAAATAATTAACAGAAAGAGGAAAGTGGGGAGAAGTACCCAAAGGTACCCTATAGAAAGAAAAATCACGAATCTGAACCGCCGGTCAAGAGAAGCCCGCAGTAACATCAGGAGATCACCTCAGCCAATCCCAGCTACCGCCCTCAGGGCATCTTGGAATCGCCATCTTCGTCCATTCGTAACGTCGGGTACATCACTGCATCCCCTGCCTCCGACTTCACTCCCGGCTTGGCTGGTGCCGTCTCGGCTGGCGTGATCTCCACCCCTTCCATTTGGCTCCCCGAGGCTGACTCCGGGCTCCGTTCGTCGCGGATTCGCTGAGACTCGTTCTCGTATTCACCCCGTTCCAGCCGGGAAGCAATGTAGTTACGCAAATACTCGATCAGCCGGACCTTTTCCACCCACTGCACATCAGCCCGCTCCGCCACCTCGGTCGCCGCCTGAGCGGTCCGGAGCGTTGCTTCAGCTTCAGCAGCCGCTCCCGACAGCGCAGGGTCGATTAAGCTAGCCGAGAAACTCTTGGGTGACAGTGAGGATGCTCGCCCCTTAGCGAGAGGGGTGCGCTCGCTATCTGCCTTCCCATTGTCTTGCGACAAGTCCATGGCATCAGGCATGGAGCGGGGCTCCGGGCGCGCGCGCTGCAGCGTGCCACCGGTATATCGACGCCGGTCATCATGATCGAAGATACCCCCCAGTGTGGAAGGCGGTGCCGCACCCGACGTGGTCGGATAGCCTGCTGTCATGCTCTCAGACATGGTAGCCGAAGGCAGGCGAGGATACATGTGGCCGCCTTCATGGTGAGGTGGCGACACACGAGTGGCGGACGAGAGAGAGATCGGGGAGCGACCGGAGGTGTAGGACTGTGCACTGGAAGGAGGCGTGAGGGCGGGAGTGCCGGTGGAGGGAGAGTGGGTGGCTGGGTTGGGCATCATGGCGCTAGCCGCTGTCGTAGCTGTCGCATGGCTGGGGGGCAACTGTGTGGGCGGCGAGTGAGTGGTGCGGTAGCTCAGACCTCCATGGACGTAGTGGGCACCGGGTTGGGCAACTCCCGCTGCGGCAACGTTGTCGTCGTTCTCGTAGATCGTGTCCTGCATTTGCTGCAAGAATTGATCGATATTTATAAGATCATTCTTGGTGCGCACGTTGCTCATTGGGGGCAGGTGATACGACGGAGCGGAGGGATGGCCTCCAGGGCTATATCCACCGCCACCTACAGCCACGGGGGCAGGCATCGCTTGGTATTCAGGCAGAGGTCCGCTGCTCAGAACGGGCAGCGACAGACTCTGTAGCCCCATCAACCGCTGACCCACAGCCGCATACGAGTTCGGGTCAAACTGGCGGCGCTTCAAGTCACCAAAGAATTCGTTCAGAGCATCATAGCCACGCTTCTTCGACTCGTACGAGGTGTGTCCGGCTTCTGGGCCGTGGTTCAGGGCGTAGTAGACATTGCCGTAGGATGGGTTGGAAGGTTGAGGCGGTGGGTGAGACTGATAGTATTGAGGAGCACCATGGGCGTAACCCTGGCTAGGGACTGGGTTAATCGTGGGCTCGAAGTAATGAGCAGCCGCGGCGTACCCTACAGCATGCGTCAGTCGGTCAACGCCCGAAGGGTAGATATGCGGTCGCATACCTTTAGCGCCACTTGCAAACATCATGTCCGGATTCCGAGAGCCAGGCTCGGGGGAGCGAACCAGAACGGAATCATCAGCATGGGTCTTAACGTGCTTCTTCAGATCCTGGGGACGCTTGAAAGCCTTGCCACAGAAATCACACTTATGGGGCTTGAGCGGCACATGGACACGGATGTGAGAGGTGATGTGATCGCGCTTGACAGTCGTCGTCCGACAGCTACCCCATTGGCAGGTCAGGTTGAGGTTATTTGTACTCTTGCGACCGACATGACGCTCGCACACATGTTCCTAGAGCACCAGAGCGGTCAGCGGCGGATCGTTTCCCCATGATTATGACCGGTCAAGCCGACACGTGGCCGGTTACTCGAAGGTGCCTCAGAGCCAGAGCCAGAGCCAGAAGAGAAGAGTATGAAATAGCAAGGAAGTAAGAAGAAGAAGAAGAAGAAGAAGAAGAAGAAGAAGAAGAAGAAGAAGAAGAAGAAGAAGAAGAAGAAGAAGAAGAAGAAGAAGAAGAAGAAAAAAGACCGAGGCAACTTACGTAGAGGGCTTCGGGAGACGGGCACTTTTCAGAGCAGTTCTGCCACAAACAGGACAGTTCCTCGGCCGGGCGAGTGGTGGTGCCGTTGATGGGAGGGCTAGCAACGGCAGCAGTCGCAGCAGCAGCAGTTGCAGCAGCCGACGCAGCGGTAGCCGACGAGACCTGAGGAGATTGTTGTTGAGGGGGAGCAGCAGGCTCTTGGGCGGCAGGTGCAGGCACGGGGGGAGCCGCCGTCGAAGGGGCCGTCGTGGTGGTGGTGGTGTCTTGGGGTTCCGACATTGCCAAGAAAATTCTGTTTCTTGTCCCTGTCTTGGGATGCCAGCGGAAGTAGACAAGCGACTCAACACAATACCCCAAGGGGGATATAATCAACAAATACGTCCAACAGAGACAAAAGCCGGTAGTTAATGAACCGATGAGAGTTGTATATCCCACGGGGAAGTAGAAGAAGGCAGAAGTAGGCTAAGACGGTCGGTAGACTCGAGACGCGGTGAGAGCGTTCGTTGAACAACAAAGAGGGAGTCAGACGCGCACCGATACCGCAGCCTAGTCAAGTCAAGCAGCCGAAAAAGGTGGGGAAAACGCCCAGTAATTTATACTGATTCAATATAGTGATTGTAGTTTGGAATATAAAGAGAAATATAGGTAGGTGGACTGTATAGATGAAGACCACCAGGGGGACATCAAACAAGAATGATGGAGGAAGAGACGGAAGATAATGTTTGTAAGAGTCAGGACAAGAAGAGAGATGGAAAGGGAGGGAGGGAGGAGGAGGAGGAGGAGGGA